GTCATCAACTTTGGAAAAAATTGTACAAAAAAACTTAGAAATTCATAAAAAAAATTTCAACTCTGCACTAGTCAATATTTATGTTTTTATATTTGGTTTAAATAGTTTCTGGTAACAGAAACTAATAATGGACAAAAAAAAAGTTAAAATTTACCATATACAACAGTTAACACTAACAGCAACAAGTTTGGGATTTACTGTACTTTCTTTTTTATTATGAAGGACATTCAAAAAAATTTTCCATTTACATTTCAGCCCCAACCTTTGTTGTGTCCAGTAATACAAAAATAGAATTTCATTCATAACTAGGGCTATTATTTAAAAGAAAAAGAAAGTCAATGTTCAACTGTTTATATATTTTTAGCACCAAGCAATAAAAAATAACATGAAAATTAAAAAAAAAAAAAAATTAAATATTTAAAAGAGTAAATAATAAAACAAATGTATTTTCAATATATTGTAATCAGGAAAGATCTGCACCTCTCTTTCCTGGGATATTGTGCTAGCACAAAGTTACAAGTCCCCGTGACTGAGGGTTTGAGTGAACTGGCCTTGTTAAAAAAACAATAAAAACTATTGGTCATGCCAGATTGTGGATTCTCTCAGAAATTGAAATTATAGTCTGCTCAGTACTATAGTTGCAATATAAATCACAGATGGGGGTTTGCAGATGTTGAATATGAACAGACATATCTACACAATGAATTTTTAATTTGATCCTCTAAAATTTAAATAATTTTTTTTTTTTTTTTTTTTTTTTTAATAAGAGCAAGCTAATTTTCACTTGTGGAGCCTGTATAACAAGCAACTTATTTTTTTCAGTTATATTTTGTTTAAAAAACAGCACAATATAATTTATGTAATTTTGAAAAATATATAAAACAAAAAATTTAAGAAATTGATGGGGGGGAGTAGGTTTAAAAAATCTCAACGATGTCTTCTTACAAAACTGAAATTACTGTTAAATTATTAAGTTATATTACCCCTTTAAGAATAGCTTCCTGTTGAATTTTTTTCTATCGATGGTTAATGTGAACGAGAGGAAAAAGTTAAGAGTTTTCTCCCTTAGAGAGTTCATCACTTCCTTCCAAATCAATGTAAACAAAAGGACTGCACGTGAAAAGAACAGTTCTGTTAATTCGAAGAAGTTGAAACAAAGAATATATATATATATATATATATATGAGAGAGTAGCTCCCAGTATGTGTTCGCATGGAGCTATATACTGTAACATTGTATCTTTAAAAAAATTCATATGAAGAGTTAAGTTTTTGAATTTAATAACAAAATTAAAAAATAAATATAACAGCTTAAAAACAATAATTAGAATTTTTCATCATGATTTAAAAATTAGATTTCTAAATAATAAAATCAAACAACACTTAAATTTATTTTTGTGTTGTAGCGAGATGAATATGAATAAATAGACACGGGTTAAAAATGTTTTAAATATATTTTACTAAAATGTTGCTTAAGACACCAAATCAATATTTTGACTTATTTTTTTTTAACAAATTCATAACTTGAGTTATAATAATTTTTTTGTTTGAATTTTGTAATGAGGTGTTGACATTGTATTTTGGTTCATTCAGTCACATTAATTTCCTTATCTTTGGAATGAAATCAAAATGACAGACTTGATGGAATCAATTCATACTCAAGTCATCCAATAATCAACAACTGAAAAAGATCAATAACATTGGAATCAATGATGAAAAAAGAACAAAACAATGAATTTTAAAAATATGATTGGCAAAATTTGCTAGCAGGTCATCAGTGCAAAACATGACTCAGATGAAAACTGTTTCAAGAGTCAGCAGTCATAGGCAGAACCAGATATATTGTGTATGAGAGTGGAAGCCATGCTCCATCAAAACGGTTGAGCACAAGAAACGCCTGACAAAGTATTTTATCCAAACAAATTTGATAGATATCTTAAAGATGAGAAAATTAGTTTAAATGAACCAAAATACAATGCATCTGCATAAAATATTAAAGTATTTTTTGTTTACAAAAATGCTCTTTCAGCAAACAAATATCTTTTTCTTTTTATGTAATATGAGAATTTTATGCAAAGAATAATTTGTAATCAAAGATCAGAAGAAAACAAATACATAGCCAAGCTTCTGTCCTTGACCCCAACAGTAGAGTTGAGAGAAACAATCCTTTCCTCAAGAAAAAAAAAAAAAAAAAAAAAAAAAGCCAGATTAGCTGTGATTGTTGGCTAACGACCATGCAAATCCATACCACAATCCCTATGCAAATCTTGTCAACAATGTTACCTGCATTGTCTCACTACTTTCTCCAAACAGCCAAACATGAAAAGGGAAAACTCTTGGAGAAAATATCAACAGGTCAACACTTCAAGGCAGAAACTGATTGTTCCCATTGCACCAGATACATCTAAGTTATCTTCTGTTCACTTGTCAGATTCATTTCTAGTTTCTTTGTCTAAAAATGCTAGAAAAAAATTTAATTCTTTTTAAAAGTAAGTTTAAAAAACTGAAAATAAGTCAAATTTAGCAAATAAAAATGTAATTTAAGAATTATGAAGTAAGATGAATTTGCTATGTGCAAATATTTTAAATATGCCTTATGAAAAACATCCGACTGCATTAATAGTCTTGTCATACTTGTAACAGAAAAAATATGGAAAAAAATTAAATAAAATAAAAAAAAAACTTATATAATCAACTTGTGTCTGCATATTGAAGGAATTATATTTATCTTTGAAACTAAAATAAAGATAATTGTTTACACACACACACACACATATATATATATATATTAAACTTCTTTACTTGCAATAAGGTCAAATTCTGATGAGCTCATTGTAGATATAAAAAGAAAGAATAAAAAAAGGCCCTAATCTAATAAGGTTTTTTTCTCTAAGTTAATAGTTTTTCTCCTTTCATTACAGTCAATAAATGCACTTGAGTATGTAGCAAAGTAATATGCTTTAAAAAAAATAAGGTAAAAAGATCTATAATATAAAGTTAAACACTGAGATGTCAACAACCAGAATAGTTAAAGAGAGTGGAGGTTGTGTCTTGACATTATCAGTTCCACATAACATTGCTCATTTGCATGAAAAATAAAAATTTAAGTTTGATTATTACTGAATGCTCATCACTATCATTATATATATATATATATATATATATATATATACATACACACCTAATTATATAAATGCACAGCAGTATTGTTAGCAAGTAGGACCTCTCAAAAATGCATTTCATTGAAGTCATATAGATCTAAATCTGTACTGTTGTGAAAACTATATCTATAATTTCAAAGGCTTCTATTGAAAATACAATGCAACACTTATTCAGCCAGAGAAAAATAAAATGTTCAAAGAATTGTTGAAATGTTTTTAGCCTGACCTCCTAATCTGACCTAATGACCAAACCTCAGGAGGCTTCTTAGACAGGCTGAGAACCCAATTGTTGCAACACTAAAAAGTGATACCAAAAAAACCCTAAACATATAACATCAAGATTTAAAAAAAAAAAAAAAAAAATAATACTAAGTTTAATGATTTATTCTGTCATGAAACCTGCAACATTCCACATGTGAAAAAAAAATTCAAATTTATGTGTGAAAAAAATTAAAATTTATGTGTGAAAAAAAATTCAAATTTATGAACATTTGAAACTGCAATAAAAAGACATACTTAAAAGTTATAACACAGTTCCTGGTTATATCCTAGCTATAGATATTTGGAAATGTACAGAAAGGCAAAATCAGGCCAGCCAGTACAAACTGTCTACTAGACAATAATTATACATTATACTTTTTATATATGAGAATGAGAAATAAATGGATCTATTTGGATCTTTTGAAAGGTTTGAAAGATATGTAAAATAGATGAAATAATTCTGAAATTGAACAAATCATATTGTATCTTCCATTTGATATACATACAAAATAAGATTTTTAAAAAAATGTTATAACTTTGCCTATCCATTCTATTACATTAAAAGGGAAAGTGGTATTTTTATTGGCAAGTTATGCAAAACAATGAACCAACAAGCCAAGAGAGGAAAAAAGAGTAAAAATAATGAGCTGATAATCATCTTAGTAGTAATGTGAAAGTCAATTTATGTGCTGCAGTAGAAGGTGCATTTTGTTGGCTAAACTTTCTATCTCAGTCATTATAAATGTTGCTGCTGATATATTTGTTGTTAACACCAAGTCTGCAGGTTTTAACAGAAATAACAGCATGTCTATTTTCATTGGAAAGAGATTATATAACACCAATGAGCAATCCTTCACATAAGTGGAATAAAATAATCAGTCAGTTCTGCTTCATTTAAACAGCATAATATAAAATATTTAAATTTTATAAATGTTCTTTGTTTAAAATAAATTTTGTTTTATTTACAGGCCTTTTGATTTTATCTGGTTTCATTTCTGAGGTATCGTTCATGTCACATCTTCACAAATTTGTGTGGCATCAACAGTAATCAGTAAATGAACAGTTCAGTGTTTTCAGCATTTATTTACTCCATAATCCACCATTACCCATTATAATAATGGGTAATTGTAATAACTGTATATACCTTGGTTTTACTGATTTTATACCATTCACGGAATAGTAGTTTATTTTATACTGCTTAAGTGAAGGATTACCACTCCAGTATCATGTGTTCTCCCTTAAAGAGGCTAACTAAAATACTTTTGTTCCAAAGATATTTTATCATCATAAAAACTGTTAATGTGATTTTTTCTTTTGTGACTTTGAAAAGACTATTAATGCATTTCAAAATGTCCACTAAGGAATAGTTACATCATAACACATTGTATAAAAATTTATACTTTCAGTAAAAATGTTTATAAAAAAAAAAAAAAAAAAAAAATTCACTTATAATATTGTACATAATTTGGAAAAAATAAGTTTTTCATTATGAAATAACTAGTTTAAAAAATGAAAAAAACAGTTATGTAAACAATTTCGTAGGGAAAAAAATATTAGATTATTTGTGTGTGGGGGGAGGTCAATCTGTATTCAAAGATGTTGAACTGATCTGACTTGACATAGCCATTCCAGAAAGATCTGACTCATTGCTCCACCATTCCAGATCATATTTTGGCCCAAGGCGATCAGAAAACTGAAAAATGAAAATTTAAAAATTTGATTGAAAGAGATCCATTAATAATATATAATCATTTTATTCATTTACATTATTTATTTTGTACATTTTTCTTGGTTTCAATATTTTGGGATTTGGAATTAAGTTTATTAAAGTTAGGTTATGGGGTTTATCTAGTCTTTTTGGTCATGATGTAGTTATAGGTAGTCCAGTTGGAATTTGTTTTTGTGTCTGTATTTGGAAAAGAGCTCTAATCTTTTGCTTAGTTTATCTTTTTCTGTAAAAGTAATTATCATTATTTTCTCCTCTAGGCAAATGTTATGTTGTTTTGAGGTGTTATTGTAAGCTGGTGCTGTTTTTTCCTATTATCCATGTCATTTTTGGTATGTTTTGGTTGTGTTTGTTTTTTATATGCTTTTATAAGATAGTGCTGTTTGCATATTTTCTTTGTTAAATAATGTTTTGTGTGAGAAGCTTCAATTCTTAGGGACCTTCTGTTGTTTCTGTATATTTTTTCCTGCGTTTCTTTCAGATTTTATTTTTATTTTTTTAATCATTTCACCCTAGGCAAGGCAACAGAGCCACTAAGATACAAGGGGCTACTGAGTGGGAAAGAATATTAGAAAAAAAAAACATTATTAATGAGAGAGAACAATAAAAGAACAGGAATTAAGACAAAAGAAGATCTTGCATGAGTCAGGCAAATTTTCATCAACGTCCACCATTGAGAATAAAGTCTCCCTGCCCCATCCAAAGAAGGGAAAGCATTTTTTTTTTACATTTTTGTATCTGATTCCATGTATATTGTTCACTCTGCCCACATCCATTTTAATTTGTTTTATTAAATTGCATGTATATATAATTTGAAAATTAGCATTCGTTTGTGGGAGACTCATTATTTTTGGTGACTTGTAAATGACTAAATTCCTTGGGAGAGGCCAAAAAAGAATTTTACATGAGTCAGGTAAATTTTCATCAAGTTACACCATTGAGAATAAGGTCTGCCTGCCCCATCCAAAGAAAGGAAAGTCAATTATTCAGAAATAAGATACAGTTTTTAAATGGTGAATGTCTGTGTTAATAATAATTTTTTTTTTTTTTTTTACTTGATTTTGAATTTTTGGTTTTGGATTCCATGTATATTGTTCACTACATTGCTATTAACTATCAAACTAGTAGCACCCCACCGGCCATTTTAATTTGCTTCATTAAATTGTGTGTGTATAAACTATCAAACTTCTTTTGAAATTCTCTACCCTCCCCCAATCTGTTTAATTTAGAATATGCTTACCCACTGTTATTTATCAATGCTGATAAAATTAAGTGTTACCACCTTGATTTTTTTAGTTGGTAGTAGACATCAGAACTTATACTAAGTCAATACTTACTATGAATTCTAGTGCATTTTTTTTTTTACGGGTTAATAGGAGTAGATAGGCCCACCTATCATCCAGTTCACACATCTTCCATATCTATTGAACAGGAGTGTAGCTTCATCCCTTGTTCCCTATTCAGAATATGGTTTCCCAGTTCTCTTTCTTTCTCTTAACAAGGCCTCAATGATTTAACTGTCTTAATTCTTTGGTGATCAGACTAACCAGTGGCTTTAACTTTCCATTGTGATGGTATCAGATTGGCAGTTTGCTGGCTGCTGCTTCTGACCGGTCGTTAGGAGCCTAAATCTTTGGTAGCAATTAGAGATGCTGCTCTGATCGACTTTTGTATAATATTGGGGTATCTGTAGTGCCATGTCATGGGTAAGTGTCCCTGCATATATTTCTGGTGACATCTCAGGGACATCATGCTCTGCTCTCAGCTACATCCTAGTTGGTTTGTATTACCATTGATGACAGATAGTGACAATTATGGTGGTCTTTTCCCTCTCTCTGATTAATAATTCCAAGTCATTATCCATTATACCACCTGCACATACAAGCTACAGCATCTGGTATTCCCAAGCAGTCACCCGTTTAGGTACTGACCAGGCTTGACGTTACTTAACTTCATTGATTATACAGAACCAATGTTTCAATGTGATATGGCAGTAAGCCACACATCCTTTTTGAGAGATGATTTCCCTTTGTTTTCCCCTTTCTTTTCATTTTTCTTTATCACTGGTTTCAACATGTTTTAAATTTGTTTCTGTGTTCAATGGCTGAATGGTAAGGATCAAGTATGTAAATGAAGTTTTAGTTATCTTTCTGTTTTTAAAATTTTCTCTAATTTTGTTTTTGTTTTTTCTGTGTTTGTCATCTTAATTGTTTTAGGTTAAATTCCATGATGTATTGAAATTGATGAATGAAAATTATTCATTAAACCAAATCTCCTACCCACACATATTTGTGTCTGTTATCTTCCAACATAACAGCTGTTAGTAAAACATTCAATGGTTTACTGTTAGGAGATATTGGACTAAAAAATATATAATAATAATAATAATAAACTTCAACTGATCTTGTTCAAGAAAAAGTTGGCTTTTGCTGACTGATAGGATTTATGTTACAGTTTGCTTTCATATTCAGGATAGACAAATATGACCAGCTATTTAAATTTTGACCCCCGCCCCTGTAAATTACCCATTTTTATTCCAGACATCCCGCTTATTTTAGTTTCCACATTTTACTAATCTGTTTATTCCAGCCTCCTTTTCTTTCTTTTTTTTGTTCCTAAAGTAAATCAATTTTAAACAAATTTTCTAACCTAGACTTTTATTCCAAACTCCCTTTCTATTCTGAACTTAACAGTATTTCCAAAACATGACTACATGTTAATTGCTTTATTAATCACAAGAAGTATTTGTGGATGCACTATAGTTTTATATTATGATAACCTCGAAATTCCAACCACCTGAAGAAGGCCGGAGTGTACAATGGCTGAAATGTTATGATAAATATGGCGACAAAGATGAGGACAATAGTCCGAATAATGTAAATAATGTACATAATACCGCATCTCAGAAATATAGACAGATTATGATAACCTGATTGTTTTAAAATAGTTGAACACTCTCAAATTTGTAGAAATGTGAAATATATATAACAGTAATTACCTACAAAGTAAAATAATTTAGAAAGCTATTGTGAATTAATAAGTTAATGAAGCTGGATGTAACCATAAGTTCTCTGCTAAAAGTTTCTTCTCACTTGTGAACCACTCTTCTGTCTTCTTGCTTTCCAGTCAACTTTGATATTCAAAAATTTAAATGCAATGTCAGTTGTTTTCTTCTTTCTTTTTTTTTTTTTTTTTTAATCAGTATCACCCCAAGCAAGCTAATATGGCCACTGAGGTTACAGGATGTGGAGGAATAAGCAAAAGAAATATTAGTAATGAGGAGAAGGAAAAGAGCAATCAGGAGGACAGTAGATAGCAATTGATATTGCATTTAAATTTTTACAGATTCAAGTTGGTCAGAAAGCAAGAAGGTGGGAGGGAATTCCACAAGTGAGAAGTGTGAGGTAAGAAACTATTAGCATAGCAGTTAGTTACGGTTACATCTAGCTAGCTCAACTGTAAATTGATCTCTCACTTTAATTCATACAGTTTAGGTACCATAGCGAAGCACTCATCCGAACAATTGCCATGAAAGTATTTATAAAAAAAGGCACAGAGAGGCAACCTTATGGTGGTGGGCAAGTGATTGAAGCCATACTGCCATATCAGGACCAATAATTTTGCTGATTCTTTTTTGGATCTTATCAAAGAGCTCTAGGAAAATAGTATGGACACTGGACCAAATATGGCAGCAATATTCTAAGCACGGACAAATGGTAGACTTATAGATATGCAAGATAGATTCTTGCCTGACACAGTGAACAAAACTTTCTTAGCAGCTAATCTAGCAATGAATTCAATGTAGACTTTCCACCTAATTTCAGATGAGAACATTAGCCTGAGAAGGTGCGATGAGTTATTTTCTTGGAGGATACCATCAACCAAGCTGATGGAAGGCAGAGAGGAGTCTCTTAGATGATTAATAGAGTGAAGTTTAGTTTTGGAGATGTTAAAATTGATGAGCCATATTTTGCCACAGTTAATGACTGTCTTGAGATCATTTTGTACATCAGCTGCCATTTTGACCTAGTTTGACTGATCAACCTTACTATTGATGCAAGAGTAAATGGTAGTGTTGTCATTTAGATTTCAAGTTGAGAGCTGATGTCATTGGAAAGACATCAAAGAAGATTAAAAACAGCATAGGACCAAGGATGGAGCACTGGGGGACACCTGCGTTAGTATGAAAAGATGTAGATGAGTGGCCATTCAGGATAACATTCATTCTATGATTAAATAGGAACAACAAGATCAACTCAAAAACTTGTTGAGAGATACCATAACTTTTCAGCTTGTGGAGAAGACCTGAATGCCAGACTGTCAAAGACTTTTGAGATTAGGGTCTCTCGGAGTTTTCCTAAAAGGAGGCAGAAGGCTAATAGGCTGATAGTTGGATGGGTCAGATGGTTCACCAGATTTCTTAAAAACTGGAACAACAGACCATGACTTCTAGCAAGCAGGAGGCAGCAAGGCATTTCTTATACATTTTAGATAGAATAGGAGCTAGTTTGGGAGCACACTTCTTAATGACTCTTACAGGGATGCCATCAGGTCAACATGCTTTGTGGGGATCAAGGTTAGAGATGATAGCAGAAACCATGTAAGAGGTTATATGCATATCACTCAACAGAGATTCAGTTCTAAGTGGGAAGTCAGGCAGTGATACTCTAGATGAGTCAAGAGTAGAGTTTGAGAATTTACAGGCAAAGCATTCAGCTTTATCAGAGGATGATATTATCTCAAATAAATTGAAGAGGGGAATAGAGACCTTGCACTTATTTAGTACTCTATGCCAGTAGTCACGAGAACCAAAGTTTTAGAGGCTATGCAGTGCCACATTCTCTCAGCAAACAGGGACTTAGCCTCTTCAAGAACACACTTGCATTGGTTACAAGCAGTAGAAAACCTGTTATCATGAGAGCTGTCATGCCAGTTTAGCCAGAAATAGTGGTTCTTGTGTGCTGTGGCAGCCAAGCATGATAATGTGAACCACGGAGAGGAATGAGGTTTCACCTAGTATTTCCTGAGAAGGGATGAAAGTGTCCAAGCCGGCTTTGACCCAAGAAGAAACCTCAGTGGCACAATTTTCAATTGGGAGGTTGAAGGTGTCAGTCCATGGGGCATCATAAAGAATGAGTCCCAATCAGCATGATGGTCACAGAAAGAGATCTTATGGATAGGTGGTTCTTCCTTAAAGGATGCTTGGAAGGAGATATCAATAGCTACTACAGAGTGGTTTGAGTTAACATTGTGTTGTCTACAAATCTCTATCTAATCTGCCAAGGAATATGATGGCCTTGCCAGCTACAGTGATTAATAAGTGCTTATCATGCTCATTGCCTTATGAACGACATATTAATCGACATGAAATCAGTACCGGACTTCCATATGATCTGGTATGGGTTGCAGCACTTGGCTCTCAAGACTAGTTGCACCTAGTTAGCAGTATTGTGAAGCTTGGTAAGAGTGAGGAGAGGAGGTAAGAAATAGATTCAATAGAGAAGCATGTTGCTCAGTTTGGCTAGGGAAACAAGTAGGGAGGTCCACAATTTGAGTGAGGGATTGGATAATGGAAAAATTTAATGTCTGTATACAAATTTCAGTTTAGTTCTTTATATTCCCTTACACACAAATATCCTTAGAAAAGGTATGAATCAATCTCTTCCCCTCAGATATGGGTTAATTAGTAAGACTTGTATCACTAAATCATTATTATCTCAAGAAACAAAAAAAAATTCTTACAATCTAAAAATATTTTCTGGCTTTAAATAACCTGCAATGTAGATAAGCCATAATAACCAAATCAATCAATCATTAAAGGATGACATTTTAAGAAGATATCTTGACTGCTTTCTTTTCACCAATTATTTAAAGCATAAAGGTTAAGTCAAAGCATTATGAAATTAATACTTACTGGCAATTTTAGAAGAAAATGGAAACCCATTACTACAAGACAATACCAAACCTGGAACAAAGAATGAAAAAAATATTTAGGATTTCCTTGATGCATTATGTAGTCTTCTTCAGGATATGGGTGGTCAAGGCTCTCTACAACTTCCTAAAGAGGAATTGTAGTATCTCTGTATATCCAACTTTTAAAAAGAACCAATAAACTACTCTCACCATTCCCTTATATCAACTGGCATATATAGTGAATTAATTGTAACATTATATGTTGAATATCCTTTGCCTTACACTTTTACCACGCTCTTTCATCTGGATCAGTAACTGATATAAGCCTATACATACATGCACCTAATTTTATTCAATATGTGTGGGCAGCATAATTTATCAGCAAGCTGAGTTTAAATTCTGACAGAGTCACTTCACTTTACAACCCTTCAGAAAGACATGAATCTAATTCACCTTCCCCCAGTTATGGATTAAATAGCAAGGTAGGCTGGGCTCTCTAGTCTTGGATAGCAGCCAGTCTAGGAGAAGGACTTCTCCAAGTCCAAAACTGTGTTCCTCCACAGAAAATAATGAGAAGCCACTCCACTATCTTTTGCAAGAAATCATAATAATTTTATATAAAAAGTATTGACTGCTTATGTCCTGAACAGATATGGCATTTATGTTAAAAAAAAAAAAAAAAAAAAAAAAAGATGAAAAAGTTAAATGACATGTGTATTTATTTGAAAAAAATATGACAGAAAAATAAGTAATATGTATAAAAATCTAGAGGAAAAATACAAACAGTGTACATGTCAAATGTATACCATGAAAAACTGGCAGTTATCAAAAGAAATATAAATATATATAAATATATATTAAATTAGGTAACTCCACGAAATCGCTAAAAAATAGAGCATAGTCTGATGAAAAAGATGCCAAACTTTATGAAAACAAAATTTTATCGTCTAAATGCTTATGTTTTTATGAAGAGGAAAGACCAAAGTTTTTTTTTAATTATTTTTTAAAATTTTTCCTTCTTTTTAGAACATTCTAAATTTTGATTAAAAAAACCTTGTTTCTCTTTGTACCAACAGGGGCTAGTAAATAACATAGATAATTTTTAGCGTGTTTTTTTGTATTACACACATTAATTTGGAAAATCTTGCAAAAATAAAAATAATTGTCAGATGTTAATGAAACTTTCAGAAACTATTCACAGATGATCGAAATTATTATAAACATGTTTTTTTTTTTATTAAAGTCATGGCAGAAATAATTTTTTTTATATTTATTAACACCCCCATAACTAATTTTATGAAAAACTCTAGAAATTCGAGCGCATCAACCTTAGTGATTACAATAGTTAAAAGCACAAGGCTTTGAAGAATGCAAATCATGTTTTTTTTTTTAATTGAATCCCACGTCCCTGAAAATCAGCTCTGAATTGTAACAGACAAAACTCAATAAAACAAAGATATTATTTAATTTCAAATGCTTTTATTTATTTTTAGTTGTTTATATGAATATGGACAATATTTTCTGAAAGCAAAAAATTTTTTCAATGAAAATTGAATTTTTAATACAATTATTTGTTATTTCTTTAATTATAATAGATTTTTACATTAAGTTTTTTAAAAATATTATAACATTAGTTAAAAGCAACATCAACCTTTCAAAGTGTCCTTATGAGATTGTCTAGCACTTTGAAAATTGTATCATTTGAACCAATCAGAAGATCTGAAGTAATTAAGAAATGTAATTTTTGTGTTTATAATCAGGCGGTAATTATAAAGTACAGAAGACCAACCAGAATACAATTTAGTTGTATTATTTGAATTCAGCATTGTTCTCCGCTGTTAAGGCCTTTACTTTTGCGAAACATGTATGGAGAAGTTAATTTGATTTTTCAATTTCAACTGATAAGGGTACCTATAAGTATCAGTATCATCTTATGAAATTTAACTACTGCTAAACTTCAATTTATATGATCTTATTTTTATATTAATCTCAGTTATGACATTTTTCCATAAATGAAATATCAAAATTAATAATAAAATGAATGGAAATACAAATAACACAGTAAAATGTAATAAATGTACATAAAATTATAGTATTTTATGTACACTTCTGATAAAATTTCATAAGAAAGGTACCTATAAATTAATTAGATACCTTTCTTATGAAATTTAATCTCACTAACAACAGTCTTATTTTTTAATTTCTTTATATTTTCCATAAAGCATCGTAAATGTAAAGATGAAAGCTAAGTACAAAAAAAAAAAATAAAAAAATTAGAGCGCTGAAAGTTTTCCTTAAAAGTAACGAGGTAAATAATTTGTTCACTTAAATCTAAATAATTTCACTTCCTTCCATCCGTAGAAAGAATTATCCTCCCGTAAGTTATCTAAACGTCATGACTCTGTCTTTCGTCACCTGTCAAATGACACGAAAGGTTATGACCTGCTTTGTTTTATTTTCAAATTACATTTCTTCAGCGCAGAAAAATATTTTAAATAAACATTATAATTTCTGATTCTATTAAAATAAGTTTTGAAAAAATGATAATTGATTTTTAAAAGAATATCAAAATCAGATTTTCATCTTTTTTATAAAATGGAAAAAATGATTGAAAATGATGGATTATCTGTCCATTTTCTTGACAAAGAAAAAAAAATATTTTTAACAAAAATTTCAGACGTGCTAGAAACGATTAAAAAATGTAAAAAAATACCCCAAAAATACTTTGATCTTTCCTCTTTAATAATAATATGAACATTAGACGATAAAATTTTGTTTTCATCAAGTCCGGCGTCTTTTTCATTATGCTATGCTCTTTTTGTTTACATTTGTAGAGGTACCTATATTAAGTGAAATAATAAAATATAGTTTAAAATTATTAAAATATAGTTTATAATTATTAAATAAAATATAGTTGAAAATTATGAAATAATATATTAAAATATAGTTTAAACAATAAATAAAAATAGCAATGAAAAATAAAAGCAAATTTCTCAAAAATTTGCAAGCCACTATGGCAAATTGAACATTTTTGTTTTTAATCAATTCACCCCAAGTAATGTGATAATGCTACTAAGACACAAGGGTCTATGGGAGTGAAAGAGAATGAAGAGACTTTAGAAGGGAAAGGAAACCCATTCCTAAACAGGAAAGAAGGGATAAACTTTTACTCCTGTTCAAAAGACCAGGAAGGAGTATAAACTGGATGATAGGTGAACCTATCTACTCCCATTGAGGAGAAAAAAATAATGAATAAAATTTCAGAGTTCAGGTGGAGATGTTAAAAGCATAGAGTTAAAGTAGACTTCTAAGGAACTGGGAACCTAATCCTAAAGAAGAAAAAAGGAATAAACCTCTAAAATGTTTAACAGAAAACGTAAAATCCTGAAATTAAATGATTTTTTTCTTTTTACAATTTATGATTTTGAAGTTACAAAAGTGTGTGTGTGTGTGTGTGTGTGTGTGTGTGTGTGTGTGTGTGTGTGTGACAAGCCCAGTAAGAAATTTTGAAACTGGTAGACCTTCCACAACAGTAAGATTGAGACTACATAATACTCCTTTCCTTCATCTCAGGCCTATATAATATTTAATTACAATAATAATAAAAAAGCATATCTTCTGCTTTGGAAATTTTTCTTTTTGGTACCTTCTTATTCATAAACTGAAGTGCCAAACAATTGGAGACAACTGTGCAAATGATGGTTTCACCCCTACCACTTGTAAAAATGTATTCAAGCAGATGATGTATGCATGATATAATAGGTATGACAGCTATAACATGCAAACAAGATTTAACTGTTTGATCAGAGAATAGGAATTATAGGATATGCACATAGCATAGTGATACTTGTTATCAGCACAGAAAGTGGAATTGACATGCCAAGTTCAAATTCTGTCTGTGTTTGTTGCATCCACTTCTGCACAAATACCTTTGGGGAGTCATGAATCCATCTTTTCTTTCCCCAGCTAAGGATTAATTAGGAGGGCAGACTAGACTCTTTTGCATTGATTGGCAATCAGTATAGAAGGACAATTCTGAATTCAAAACTGGTTAAGTATGGGGCTGGCAAAAACCTATTTGCTACAGAAATCACAGCAGGAATTAATGAGAATGTGGTCCTATTCTCTACAGGGAAGTCTAATGAAGCTGAGAAGTAGGAAAGATCATGAAATGATTGTCAATACAAGAAAGTTGATGCACTCTCTGAACAGAGTAACTGTTCTAAACTTTTTTTTTCTCAGTCAGCAATAGCAAAGGTACAGCAGGAATACATGATTTCTGGAAAGACATCCATGTCATGTGAAAATCACAAGCACCTACAGGTGATGCAAGAACAATATGCCAACAATTGACAAAAACAGTAACCACCCAACAAAAACGAGCATTGTACCAAATCATATCCCTATTCAATATTGGTACTGTTCAACCCATATTGTAAACTCCAAGTTATATTTGTTATAAAATAATATAAGACATATCTCGGCTGATTTACAGGCAAATACTCAAGAGTGAGAGCCGGATGTGAACGGGACAAAACCCCGTCACAAAATGACCATTACCTTCAATTACAAATGTTCCCGACAAACGAGTTCCGGTCGAAAAATAAAATAATAATTAAAGTGTTCTATTTTTCATCCAATAAAAATACTTCCCACCTAATTATACTCGCTTCGTTTTTCGTTTTTTGAGCCTGTTAAGCCATAAAAAAACGCTATAAAAGGGGTCACACGGAAGTTCAACAGGCAGTCAACAGGTGCCCAGAGTAGAGACCTGTCATGGTCAGCTACTGACAGCAGGGGAGCGTCAACCACCGTCAACATGTGTGAACTACTATGAGAGATTGACCTAGATCCAAAGCCAGTTTTTATGAACTTTACCACAAGGTAGCTGTCCCAAACCCACACGTTCCTGTTGAAATAAACCACGTAAATCCATTTCTGCTGTTGTTGTATTTCTTTCTTGCAACCATACGCTTGTCTATAACATATTGTATAGGTGTTATTAGACAGGCAAAGGTACACTTCAGTTTCAAATTGAGGGCGGTTGGAGTAAAATGTGTCGCTGTCATTGTTTTTTTTTAAATAATTTTTTATAATTTGTCAGAAGGCTTATAATTTTCATTACCCTGAATATTCTGAAAAGTAACATTTCAATCTATCTTTCTATAGAATTCATAAATTTTGAATGTTAAGGATTCATTGATTTGTTTTTTTTTTATAGTTTATCAACCTTTTGCAGGTTATTTAAGCCAGAAAATATTTCTAGATTTAAGAATTTTATTTTTGAGATAATAATGGTTTAGTGATACAAGTCTTACTAATTAACCCATAGCTGGGGAAGAAGAGGTGGATTCATACCTTTCCCAATGCTATTTGTGCATAAGTGAACATAACAAACCCAATGGGAATTGGAACTCTGCTCTCCAATTAACATTTACAAGACATTATCCATTACACCACCTTCAACTCCAAGCTTACAGCACCTGGTATTCCTAAGAAGTCTCCCATCTAGGCATGACATTGTTTAACTTCAGTAATCTCATGAGAACTGGTGTTTCAATGTGGTGTGACCACAAGCTGAAATTAAGGGGGAGGAGGAAATTTCCTTAATATCTAATAAAAAGGGTGGTGGGAATAAGCATGTACCAAGTGGATTTTTCTATATGGAAAAAAAGAATAATCCTAGCCTATTTGAAAGTCAAAAGGTAGCTGTCAAAGATTTTATCATTTCAATCAATGTATCAATAACTGTTGGGGCGCACCCACCTTCTAACTAGTAATGGACTGGTCCCTCTTATATAAGTCAGCTCTGGGGAGAGAGTGTTAGCAGTCCAGATAAGCTTACCCGGTACATACCGTTGGACGATAGACTTTGGATAATGTTTCGTACTAACCAACCTTCGTTCTACTAATCACTCTATTGTTAATTGCTTTTATGAATATACCAGTATTTTCCTCTACAACTGTGTTTGTCTTGCTTCATACACCGACACGCGGGAAACTCACATCTCAACAATAACCATGCTAAGAAATTTGAGGGGAAGGTCATAATGAATTAATAGTCAAAAAGATGTTGAAATATAAGATTAACAACACTGTACATAATAACAGTAACTAATCAGTTACATGCCACTAATGAGATGATCTAAAATAAAGATTATGTTTAATAAGCCACAGTGACAAAAGTGCAAATCTTTATTATAAATACCTACCAGATATAAAACAAATGCTACATATAGAGCCGTGCCTATGCCAATAGCAAAATAAATGTACCATTTGGGTGGCAATTGTTCAACTTGAGTGATCACAAGAAAAAGATTAATGCCAATGACCACTGCTGCAAGGGTTCCTGTTATAATTTTCATTACTCTGAAAAGAAAATACAAAAAATAATATAAAAAAATGAAACTCTTTAATCAATATACATATCTATAATTTTGTATGTGTAGACAGAGTGTTTATTTTTTATTTTAAGATTGAATAATTTTTTTGAAAATTCAAGACCAGTAAAGACTCTTCATCTACATGAAAAATAAAATGTTATAAATTTGACTGGGTTGAGAAAAAGGTTTGTAACATTGATGACATTCTGAAAAGTAACATTTCAATCTATCTTTCTATAGAATTTGTAAATTTTGGATGTTAAAATGTAAGAAAGGAGGAAAATAAGATGCATTTTCATCACTTGATGCTTTTATTTCCAGAAAGGGGAAAAACTGCTGGACAAAGAACAAAAGAGATATGTACCATTTATGGAGATGGTGCCGTAGCTGAGAGTTCTATTTATATGTGGTTTGCTAGGTTAAAATTTTGGTTGAATTTACTTCTATGGGTGACTGATGCATTTGTATTGTTGTGTATAAAGTCTATGTTCATAAATAGGTTTTTTTTTTAAATTTCTTCAAGTTTCCTCAATGTATTATGAGGAACTGTTCTAACAATTTTGTATATACCTGGGGAAATTTGTATACATTATGTGGGAGGTATTTCTGCCACACATTGTAAATATATATTTTAAAGACATCTAGAAACATCGATCACTAATGTCAGTATTATAAATGAACTAGTAATTAGTACTATTTCCAAATCAAGATACAATACATGTTATGTGACATTTTTATTATATTGTGTTGGAGATGATGTTTAATTTAGTCTTTACTGCAGAGTATTCAATCAAAACCAAAATAGTGGCACCCATGAGCAATTGCCATCAGTGTCATTATGGTCATTTGTTTTCAGTAAATGACAATTTCCTATCATTGCTATAACAATGTAACCATGAAAGTGTTAAGGATACTTCAGGCAAAATGCTTATGTATTGAGTTGGCCAAAAAGTTTGGTTATTCAGTAAATTTTCTACTTAAAGCCAACAAACCTTTTGGCTAACCCAACAGATTGCATCCATATTACCATCAGTCTTAGTTTCATTAATGCCAAAGAAAAGATTAAATACATACTGCAAAATAAGTTTAACTGCATTAAAATATACAAATACTAATTATTAATTTGTCTACATTTCTGAGCTAAAATATGTTCATTATTAATTTGCCTGCTTCTATTAAATTTCTATTTTGAACAAACTTGAACACCATTGTCTAGTTTCTTCCATCCTTCTTTCTTTCACTCCCCTCATCTTAACAAGTTCTTCATTTCTCAAACCAAAATAATTTCTTAGTTGATCCACAGAGTTCAGTTGATCTTCCTTGCTTCCATTTTCCATGTTTAAGCTCCCACAAGAATACTTTATTTAGCAACTGTTCTTTCTTCCTCCAAATGTGCCCAATCTTCTAATCTATAGTAATTCTGTCATTTTGTAGTTTTTCATAGAGTTCCTTGCTTGTATAATTCTAAGAATCCTCATATATATTCTATCAAGTTTATCACTTAGAGGTTAGCTTTCAGCATTGTAGAGTAGCATTGGTTCCACAGAAGTTAAAAAAAAACACCTTATTTTCAGATAGTTTTGTTGATTTGACTTTATGGAAGTCAAGTCACCAAAATCATCTTTCCATTTAAATAAATACTAATTCTCTTTGCACTGTATCTGATTTACATATACTGATATAATTCAAATTCATGTAATTCATTTATTAAAAACAAAAATATTTCTTGAATATTATTCATTTGTTTTTGTCTTGCCAGTCTTGAATTATGCCATTGTTTCCTCCACATATTTTGACTGACCTTTCAACCACCTGATGAATATTCATGAACCTTCTCAAATTTAAAAGCCTTGATAAACAAATGGCATCCTTTCTCTTGTATATAGACATGTGCAACAAAATAAATCCTACATCTGCCTTGATAAAGTCACTTGCATTGGCTAAGAATAGTTTTCCTCTTGTTATATATATATATATATATATATATATAAAAAACATGTTTTAATTTTAAAATATACTTCAAAAGTAATTTTTTTAAAAATGAAAAAAAAGATATGGAAAAATATTTTGCATATAAATATATTTGTTGTTATTTCTTTGTGGACTACACATTTGCGATTGCCTTGTGGACCATTAGGTTGCAACCTCAAAAGTGAATTCTTACAAGCAGCAGCTGCTTGCCTGATGCCCAAGAAATAGAGCTTTTTAGTCTATGTAAATTCCATAAATGATATTTGAATGTAGATAGTTAAAAAAGAAAGTTAACAAAATGCAGGCCTTAGAATAGAAAATGTCTTAATATCAAATATTAAAATTGCTACTTTTAACTGAATATATGTTACACGATCAATGAGAAGATGATATCATATTAGAAGGAAATAAGTTGATGCAAGTAGACAACTTCAAACAGTGTTTTTCTATTGAATACTATGGAAATCTAGTGGTCATAAAAGTATCTTGTTTGCATCAAAAAACATTAAAAATACAAAAATGTAATATAGCTAAAATATTAAAATTTGTTATTGTTATTATTTGAAATTTAACCACCTTTGTTTTATTCAAAAGGTTATTTTATCTGATCACCATATATATAATAATTGCAATTACTAAAGATTTTTAAAATAAACTTACAATCCATTCTGAAAATCTTTCATGACAATTTTAGTGCTGGTAAATGTTAAGATAGGGAGAAGAGCAAATGGAAGTTGTAGAGACATCAGGACATTAAGAAATTCATTCATTCCAGAAAGGTCATGTACGCCTTTGAAAACAGCCACCAGAACTGTGGGCAGGATAGCAATGGATCGGGTAAGTAAGACCCGTTGCCATCTCTTCCATCGAAGATTTAGAAAACCCTGAAAGTATATAGAAAAATAGGTAGTAAAATAGAAGTAAATGATGAAAGAATACAAATGTTATACTGTAACATTATATTTTTTGGCAGATATATGAAAAAAAGCAATGGATTAAATAGTAGGGCAGACTGGGCTCTCTACCTATGATTGGCAACCAGTCTAGAAGAAGGACAACTCTAAATTCAGAACTTGGCAACCAACAAAGATGGTTAGATGTGGGATGCATATACTACATTTGTAAAACAAACAAAATACAAAACAGATTTCAACAACTATGGATAATTCCACTGGAGGGCAATTATCCACAGTATTGTTGACACCAATGGGCATTGAGCCCAACGAAGGCAAATCGATGGATACAAGAAAAATGCAACAAAGAAAATGATTAAAAAATGCCTTTAAATAAGTAAAATAAACAAAAAAAAAAAACAAATAAAATTCCAAAAATTGTGAGCACAAAAATATCAGAAAAATATTAAAAAGAAATAAAATCAACAAATCTACCAAATATTCATGCTGCAAATATATGTCATTGATTTAATAAGGATTTACATTCTTATAATAAAAAGCATCAGAGATTAATTATCTAAATCATAAATCATTTTGAATATCTGGGAAAAAAATTAGATCACGTCTATATCGTATTTAGTTTATTTGAAAACTTTCAAAGTTTTTTATTTTTTTTTTGTAATGGAAAAATTTAGTATATAATTATACTAACCTCCATGACAAATTGACCAGCATATGTCCCTGTCATTGTCGAGCTTTGTCCAGCTGCCAGGATGCCAACTGCCCAAATATACATGGCAGGTAATCCATATTGACAGCCAAGAAATACTCCCTTGCAGAAGAGAAAGAATTAAAATATTCATAATTAAAATAAATGCAGGTGCGTGCAACACAAAGAATGAAGAAAAATAATTGCTGTTATGATATTTATTAACATAATAGCAATTATTTTTCTTCATTCTTGAAAAAAAAAAATTTGAGTGCTATAAAAATAACACTTATAATATACTCAGAATCAGAAAGTGAAAGCTATAATTACTTGGACATATAATGAGAAAACAGATTTGGAAAATTTAATCTTCACAGAGTATACTAAAGGCAAGAGAGATATAGGTAGGCAGCGAGCCACCTATCTGAGAAGCCTGTTTGAACTGATTGTGGAACAGGGAGAGTGGAAGGTCTTGAGCCTTAGTAAAGAGAGAAAAACCGCTAAGGACCACAAGGGATGGAAATTTTTGAGAGACATGATCACTCATATCCTGAAGGGAAGCAACACATAGAAAAAGAAGAATGAGAAATATTTGCGACGATATGTATGAATTTTCTTTGAAGGATTTTACTTCTTAATAATTTACTAAATCTACAAAATTGTGAAAATCTTTTGTATTAAGTAACTTTTAATAGGGAGAGACAGTTGAATAGGTAACTGTTGAAAGTAACAAGTCTTCTTTTTAAGGGATTTAACTGTCTATACTACATGATTAAAATCAAAACATTGAAGGGACCTGTTATTATTCTATCTCTACATACTACTGGTGTGAGAACTCAACAACAATAAATGAATGACAGTCATTATGAATAGCTCAATATGAACAATTAAGAAAATTAAAACAGTGAACTAAATCATTAAATCAAGTAAATATTTTAAATCTGCAGTAATTAAAAATGTGAAGTTAGTAAATTAAATAACTTTTTTCAATTACTTTATTTTTTTTTTTTTTAATCATTTCAGCCCAAGCAAAGCAATAAAGCCACTAAGATAGAGTACTGTTGTCATATTTGGGCAAGAGCTGCTTAGACCTCACTCTCCAGCTTCTAAAAAGTGTCTCCAAGCCCTTGTGGGTATTAAACTGTTCTCCACCCTTCAACCTCTCTACCACAGGTGGGATATGGCAAGACTCTTGCTGCTCTATCACTACTTCCACAGAAAGTGATCGGACAAACTACATTCTCTGGTCCTGCCAGTTCAAACCTTCATGGCAAGAATACCATGCCACTCACATAGTAACAAACCATCCGCATTCCCTCAATCAGTGAGAAACAAGTTCCACTCAAACAGCTTCTTCCCATGAACCAATTCTGTGGAACCAACTTCCAAAAAGGATGTTTCCCCTGATCACTACAACTTTAACCTGTTCAAGGCTAGAGTTAACTGTTATCTTCCCCTCCTATCTGCACAACTTGCCTCCTAACATAATCCCCTACCTTTAGTGTCCCCTGGGACCTGTAAAAGGTGAACCTTACTGGAAAAAAGAAAAAAAAAAAAGAAAAAGAGAATATGCATTGGGTTACTGAATGTGAGAGAATATGATTGATTTTTTTTTTAACAGCTTATCAACTTTTTGCAAGTTATTTAAAGATGAAAAATATTTTTATATTGTAAGAATTTTAAGGAAATAATGATTTACTGATGAGTGCAAAAGATTTACACTATTTACATCATTCACACCCATCTTTATTGCTATATTCACAATGTTTCTGCTGTTGTACAGTCTCTGACCTTCAGGTGAATATGGCAATAAAGATGAGAACAGTCTGAATGGTGTAAATATTTACAATACCTCAACTCAGAAATATAGACAGATGTTGAGTGTAAGAGAATATGAAAAAAAAGTAAACATTAAAAATTAAAGTGCAAATGTAAATAAACCTATAAAGGCTGATCAATAAGATATTAGCTGAAATGTTTGCTGTATAATATTTCATCTATGTGATTAATGAATAAACATTTGGTTAAGTGTTGACAAGAAAGAAGATCATACTGAAAAATAAATATTTGTTGTGTAAAATAAATGCTTTTTTTCCATCATTAACTTACACACTTATTGAATTATGTATGCTACTTGTAATAAAAAAAAATATAAGTACAAATATGAACAAAGCCTCCAAACATTTATAAATAGTAATAAATAAAATTCTATACTTTTTTTTTTAATCATTTCACTCCAAACAAAGCAAAGTCACTAAGGCACAAGGCATTACTGAGTGTAACAGAATATGAGAAAATTAAAACATTATTAAGGAAAGAGAACATTAAGAAAACAGAAGACAACAATTAACATTGCATTTAAATTTTTGAGGATCAATATTGACTGGAAAGCAAGAAGCCAGAAGAAAGTTACACAAACAAGAAGTGGAAAAAAAATTATTAGCATAGAACTTAGTTACATCTAGCCATTTTAACTGTAAAATCATGAGACCTGACCACCAATCTAGTAGCGCGCTTAAATTCATAAAGTCTAGGTGCCAAGGAGGAAAGGTGATCAGAACAATTACCACCAAAATATTTCTAGAAAAGGCACAGGGAAGTTACATTACAGCGACAGGAAAGTAACTGAAACAGAGATGTTAGGTCAGGACTAATAACATTGCAGATTCTTTTTTGAATTTTATCAAGAAACTCTAAATACAAAACAGAAGCACCAGACTAGATGTGACAGCAATATTCAGTGCATTGAGTTATTTACAAGGCTATACCTATTAATAGGTATGGCTTTGGTTATTTAAAATGTAGCTCTGACTTTGAGATAGTAAATATTTTACTGAAGCATATAATGAAGTTTTTGAGCAAAGAAAATCAGGTATACATTTGTTTGTAAGAATATGGGATCTGGGTCAAATACTAAGAGCATACTTCCTCTGTCAGTATGTCTTTTGAATAACTACACAAAATATACAATATGCTACCAGTACAATATGCTTAATATAGAAAGGGTGGGTAGCTAACATCACTGAATACAATATAACTGATTGAACTGAATTTCTTTTTTTCCATATACATGTGGATTTTTTCCAGTCCAACTGAAGATACTCTGTTTGAATTAAGCCTGTATTCACTGAAATAGTATTTGGAGACATTCACTAATGACATTAACCTATCTCAGTTTGTATGTGCAACAGAACCTGAATCAGAAAAAGAGAAAATATTGATTACATATGTACTTATATAGGTATTAATTTGATAAAAAATTGATGTAAAATATTAAAAAAATAAAATGTAAAAATGGAATACATGAAAAGCAATTAATTGGATGTTGAAATTTTTTTTCTGGCTGAATTCGATTTTATGTGAGCATTATCAAAACATAGCTAAAATAAATGTAAGGAATACCTGTTAAAATGGCAACTCTTCTATTTAAAAAAACACTGAGGTCAATTTGAAAAATTTCCAGTTAATAAAATTGAAAAATATATATATGAACAAATCATGAAGATTTGTACATAAGAAATAAATTAAAATAAATTGTAAATAAAATATCAAATACTCTTCTAGCTTCTTTCTTGTCAGCTACAATATTCAAAAATTTAAATACAATGCCAATTATCATATGTCTTTTTGAATCCTGTTCTTTTATTGTATTTTCTACTCAATAATGATTTCTTACTTTCTTTCACTCTCAGTAAACCCTTGCATCTTAGTGGCTTCAGGTGAAATGAGAAAAAAATAAATAGGGATTAGATATAGGAAAATAAAATGAATAAAAGTTATGATATAAAAGAATAAAGCATATATTAACAAAGAAAATAGTGAACATTTATAATTAAAAATATAATTTATGATTATATATTACTTAAGGAAAGTATAAAATTTAATTGGAATTTATTAAGATGTTTATTCACTATGCATATATAAGAAATACACAAAAGACATTATATATATATATATATATATATATATATATATATATATAATTTATTTGTTTTAAATGTTATTTTAAATGGATACTCATTTGAGTAGGTTCTCTGTTTTTATTTATTTATTAAACAATATATTTATTTACTTATTTATATCTACTAGTCTGAATATTCAAGAAATCTTGTTAGAAAAATAAAGCACATATTTTTCTAACATGATTTCTCAAATATTCAGGCCAGTAGATGTAAATAGATAAATATACTGTTTAATAAATAAATAAAAACAGAGCATCTATTCAACTATGAGTATTCATTTAAAATAATACTTAAAAAACAACAAATTAAAAATGTCAAATTTAATCCATTTCCTAAAAAATAGAGTGGTTGCATGTATGTAATCACAAAACTTTGAAGTAAATATGAGTTAAGTGAAAAAAACTTTCATTAATTATACATATAATTATATATAAATATATATATTGTCATCCACAGACAGATTGTTTCACAGTTCATCAGTGTGGTTAGACATCCGACTGTTTCAAGCTGGGATCGAAACCCAACTGATTTGACTCTACCCCTAAGCTATTGGTGCCCAGCAGAGAGGAAGGTGAATTTTAGCATATATATTTTTAAAACACACCAGTGACTAAGAGAACTCAATTCATTAGAAGAGTCTTGAATTATCAGCAGTAGTAGTCACTGTTTACAAATTCATGGTTTCTCTCCAAAGTACTCAACCAAATTAATTTTTAGGGAGCATGTATATATATATATATATATATATATATATATATATTTTAGCAAATGCAAGAGAAAGCCTTTCCCCAAATCCTTTCATGATGACCATTTGTGCTTGTTGCTGCTGTGTTTTACCAGCAAACCCTTCTATTTTCTCTATCATTCTTATATTGTTTTTTTTTCTTTACTGTTTGCTAACAATTGGACAGCAATGGAGCAATCTTTTACTCCATCTGTTATCGTTTCTTGTGAGGTGTCTCATCCACTACAGAATTTGACCCAACTATTTTACAAAATTTCACCAAATTAGAAACAGCATATTTTTTCTAGAAGGAAACAGCATATTTTTTCTGGAGCAAAGAACTTTTCAGCAAGCTCTTTTGTGTGTGTGTGTGTGTGTGTGTGTGTGTGTGTGTGTGTGCACATCTAAAAGCTTCCACCCCCAGCTTTTTTGGTTTGGATACTGTCATATATATATATATATATATATATATATATATATATATATATATATAATGATCTCTGAGAAAGACAGGTTATGGAAAAATGTAAAAAAGAACTACCTAAGTATTAGGTATCATAAAACAATAAAAAATTATCATTGTTATTGTTGTTGGTGGTAGCAGTATTGCCATTATTATGGTTGCTGGTGTGAGTATTGTTTTTCTGATAATTGGTAGGACTATTTTTCTGGTAATTAATAGGACTATTATTTTTCTGGTTATTGGTAGGACTATTATTTTTCTGGTTATTGGTAGAACTATTATTTTTCTGGTTATTGGTAGGACTATCATTTTTCTGGTTATTGGTAGGAGTATCATTTTTCTGGTTATTGGTGGTATTATTATTATTCTGTTAATGGTAGGAGTATTACTATTATTATTATGGTTATTGATTGGATTATTATTATTATTATTATTATGGTTATTGATAGGAGTATTATTATTATGGTTATAGGAGTATTATTATTATTATTATTATTCTGGTTAATGGTAAGAGTATTATTATGGTTATTGGTAGGAGTATTATTATCATATTTGCTGGTGTGAGTATTATTATTATGGTTGTTGGTATTATTATCATTATTATGGTGATAGCTAGTGTGAACATTATTATTAATATTATTATGGTTGCTGATGGGAGTATTCATACTATTATTATTATGGTGGTTGCTGGTCGAGGTAATATTGTTATTGTTGGTAGTAGTAGGATGATGATGAGGAGGATTTTCAGAATACTTTAGTATACAAAGAAATTGAATATTTGAAATTCATTTACACTCACAACTTACCCCTCTCAGTATGTCAACTTCAGTGATTGTAGTCTGAAATAGAAAAAGAAGGAAACTGTAAATTCTTGCAATTTTAATAATCAATACTTTAACTGTCTTTTCAGGTTGCTAAAATTCTTCCAATGACTTGACAACTCTAATTATTGTTTAGATTATGCAATATATAATACAGTAATGAAATGATTAGTAAAGAGGTGAAAGGATTTTTTTCCTTTTTAATATATCTGTAATTAACAAACAATTGGTGCTGATTTAGGATGTGTCTTACTGATCAGTTTCTGCTTTAATGTGTTTCATACCATCACATTTGTATCCTACATTATTAAGGCAATGTCCTGACTTTTTCTTGATATGTTAAAAGACATTCAGAATGTTCTTATTTAAAGGATTCAAATATCTTGTATGATTTTTTAGTCAAATTTCTTATTTTATAATTGTTTTATTTTAAATTTTATAATACAACAATAAACGGTATCCCTCCTTCCATTTTTGCTTTTCCCCTAACATTAGATAATGTAGGATACACTGATAAGTAGGACACATGCTAAAGTGGCACCAAACAATCTTCTTTATCTTAAAGTTAAACTCCACTTCATAGTTGAATTAGAATTAATTAATAAAAAGAAAGAAATGGTAGAAACTATGTGTCAGTATAAATAATTTATGAAATTTGTGCAGAAAGTTCCCAATCCCTGGTTTTCTAAAAATCTACAGATTAAATACACAGTTGAAAACTTGTTTTGAATAAACAAAAAAAAAACACCAGGAACTTTTGTGCACACCTAACAGGGTAAGAAATAACTGCGCAAGACTAAATGAGAGCAAGGCAAGATATCCCTCAACATGAACAGTGAAACAAGAACAATCTATGTAGATTAAATAAAGGGTTCAATTTCAAATTCCTTGAAGGTTGCTGGGATTGATGTACACTTGAAGACGGATAGAGGACACAATGGCCAAAATGTCATGATAATAATATCAAAGATGAAGAAAATAGTTCAAGTGTAAACGTAAATAACCTTATAAGGGTTGATCAGTAAGTTATTAGCTGAATTTTGACTTGAAATTTTTGCTGTATAATATTCCATCTATGTGATTAACAAATAAACATTGGGTTAAGTGTTGACAAGAAAGAAGATTATACTGAAAATAATTATTTGTTGTGTAAAATAAATACTTTTTTTCCATCATTAAGTTACAGACTTATTGAATTATGTATGCTACTTGTAATAAAAAAAAAGGAAAAAAAGATATAAGTACAAATTTAAATAAAGCCTCCAACCATTTTGTAAATAGTAATAAATAAAATTTGGCAAATTTGCTCCCCCACCAAAAAGAAGTCACAAAAGGACGGTTTTTATCTTGATATTGCTATTATTTTAACTACCTTCATTCTATAAGTAATGTTTATTGTTTTAAAAAGCAATAATTAGAATTGTAATAAAATCTAAACATATGAAAGTGAATTTATACATTTTCTTTGTTCTTCAGAATTGACAACTAATATAATAAACACTATTTACTTATTTATTAGATCTTTTATTTACACTATTATATTGTTTATTGGAATGTTGTAAAAAATTATTTCAATATGGAATGCCAGAGTTTATAAGACAAGTGAAATGAAATGACACTAGAATTGGACTTCACCATTATGAACTCTTTCCAGTGAAGCAAAGAATTGGTTCACATGAGTACTAATTTAAATTAGAGCAACTGAAAGTGACAGTCAATGATAGGTATTGATCCAGAATTAGTTAACAGTGAAGGTATAGCATTACATCAGGTTGATTGATTGATTTTTTTTTTATGGCCTATTTCTCTGGAAAAGTGTAAAAGGCAGCTAGAGCAGTTCTTTACTGAGTGGGATTTTTTTTTCTTAACAGGAAACAATTATCTTAGCTGGGAAGTTTTCACTTATTTGGCATTTTCGCCAAATATTGCACTTTCAAATTTCACCCTGTACAAGGCCTAGAGGCCACACAAGGTAGAGTTTTATTTCAATTTTCTACATATTTCTCTTAATAAAAAATTTTGTTTTCTTGGAAAAATATAAATGGCAGCTAGAGCAGTTCTTTGCTGAGAAAGACAACAATTTCTGAGTCAATAGAATTATGAAGTTGGCTGAAAGATGAATCACAAAACGTTGTTCAATAAATTTAATATCCAAAACAAAATTGTCATATTTTTACTTAGTAAACCAAATGAATGTTTTTATTTTAACCAAATAGCAAAAATCAATTTTATGAAATGTTTTATAATATATACTTACATTAAGATCATAAGAATATTTAACATCATTCTTTATGCAGTTTTCGTACTGTAAAAAGAAAACAAATGAAATAATTTCATAATTATTGTTTTTTGTGATATTATAGAAATTCATGTAATATAAAAAAAGAAGCAAAAATATTTAATTACAAACCATAAAAAATAATAAATATCAAATTAATATAATAATTAGTGAACCACAAAATTAATATTTCTCTGGCCCATTCTTCATGTCTAATATTGAAATAACAATACATTAAGGGTCCTGCCTTCAGTAATTCATGGACATATCTGCTATTAATAACAAAACCTTAGAGATTTTTATTTTAAATATACATTAAAAGCAGTCTTGTCTCTTATTCCATATCATGTAGGAAGATGTCTAAATACCTACAAAAATAACATGCAGGGTGAAGAACTTTTTCTTTAATAAAAATTATTACAGAATGTGTTTTATTTGTAACAGTGTTTCTAAACATTCATTTTTTTTTTCACTTCAGAGTGCACTTTTAGAATAGCTAAATGTCTGAGACACACTTTGAATTTTAATAAGGAATCATTAGTCATGGAATTTGATAAGACAATAATAAAGAAGTCTCCTGAAGTGAGCATTTATTTTTAAGACATTACATTGTATATTTAAGTCTGCTTTTGTAAAACCCATTTTTTTACAAAGAAAATTACCTTTAATGGATGTCATTTCTGGTTTAGCATTCCCAAAGCGGATTAGATGTACACTTTTCATTTAAAGAGATTTATGAAGAATCAGCTATTTTTTTTTAAGAGAGGCTGATAATGACTGATTTAAATCTCCTGTAGAAGGCAAAAGGTAAAGGATTATCCACTCCTTAAAAGATTAAGGAATTTAGCATCCAGTTTAAAATATCAAATGACAAAGACTCAATTTGACATGGAAGCCATGTGCTTGATGTCTCTAGATTTTTAAAAATATAGATTTTTTAATAAAATATAAAAATAATTCATAAATTACTCTTCTGTTAAATGGGGGCACACCTGAATACATTTCAGTGCATAATAGTGTACCCAGGTGTAACAGTTGGGAGACACTAATCTATAATATGAAACACAATGTAACTTTATATATTTATCAGACCTGAAATTTGATCTCCCCTTCTTAGTAATGAGATATTCTGTTGTGGTAACAGTAAATACAGTGTGCATCAGAAATATCTCCCACATAATGTAAGATATTAACTAGATGAAGACACCATTGCCACTAATGTCTTGGGAGATATTTCTGCTGGACACTGCATTACTTCATGCCACTAAGCAAACATGCCTAGTATTGCAATAACAGAATACCTTATTAGTAGGGAAACTCAAGCTACTAATATGTTTTTATTTGTTTTAATTTTCTTTGAATATTTTGAATTAAACTGTTTTAAAAAAAAAAAAAAAAAAAAAGAAAAAAAAAAGGAGAATTTTTCTTGCATGTAACAATTGTACAAATAAAAATCCCAGATTACTCATATGAAAAATGTAGCCAGTGCAATTGCAAAATTACTTAAATATTGCCATTGTTTTTTGATGGTTTATGTAAACTAGTATTGGGTTGGTCAAAAAATTTGTAAATTTTATGCTTAATAAGCAAACATTTTCGCCAACTGAGTATAACCACAACAGAGATGATAATCAAAATTACACAACTGCTTATTGAACTCTTATTGTAGTGATATGCAAATTAGTATGATTTGCATATGAGCAGGTAGCTCATAATATAAATGGACAACAACTAGAACGGAAGTCGAATGCTTACTTAGCAATATACACGACATAACAATGGCGTTGCCGATAGGATACTCTTTGGTCCTTGAAGACCCAGAATACATAGATATGTGGATTCGTTGCTTTGCTGCTAATGCAAGATGTAAAAAGTTGAAAGACAACAAAAACACAGGAGGGGAAAATGAAATCAGTGACTTGTTTATGGCTACCGCTGGTTGTAAAGCGATTATGAAGGTTGCTACAATGGTTTACCCTCGAGAACTAGAAGAAATGACTTTCAAAGAAATAAGTCAGGTTATTAAGGGAAACATGAGACCAAAGAAAAGACTGGTGATTACAGAAAGGACCAAGTTTATGGCAATGAAGCAGGAAGTGGATGAACCGATAGTAAAATATTTACATCGGTTAAGAAGTGCAAGTAAATACTGTGAATTCGAAAAACTAGGAACAGGAGAGCAGACAACGGAAGAAGAATTAATCCAACTAAGATTAATTGAAGGTATGCATAATTCAGCACATAGATATAAGTTAATGGAACAGTTACAACTTACAAACATGCCTTTGAATATGTGTATAGAATTTATACAACAGCAGGAATTAATACATACCTACAACCAAAATAAAAATAAATCCTACGAAGAAATAATGGCTGAAACATATACGGTACAAACAAAAAGAAAAAAATTGTACGTACTGTGGAAAAATTCATGAAATGAAAAAAAAAAAAATGCCCAGCCTTTGGAAAGACGTGTTCAAAGTGTTTAAAAAAAAAAATCACTTCAAAGAAGTATGTAAAACGAAAAATGTGGAAAAAGAGTAGAGGATGAAAATAGACAGATTTTAATGTAAAAAGGATAATATACAAAATACTGGATCTAAGAATGGAGATACAAAAATAAAAGTGAAAATCAATGACTGTATTATCGAAATTAAATCGACAAAGGTAGTGAGGTCACGATATTACCCTGAAATTTGTGGGAAAAAATGGGAAAACCATTTTTAAAAAAACCCAACGTACAACTACGTCAGTTTGATGGCTCGATTATAGCAATTATGGGTTACTTTGAAGGTTCAATAGAACTAAAAGAAAAATATGAAATAGTACCCATTATAGTTACAAATTGCCGAAAAATGCATGTACTACTGGGGAATGACGTGTTAAAAATAAATTCAACGAAGTTGATTAATGAGATAGAAATAGAAAAAACAGGAAAATTAAAAAATTATGAAGCTAGCCTGAAATTAAAAGAAAATGTTTCCCCCTCCTACTACGAAGTGAGAAAAATACCAGTGCATTTATTACCGTTGGTAATAGCTAAATTAACGTAAAGCTAATAAAGGAAGACTTATTAGAACCTGCCCCTCCAGGAGGAAGTCAATGGGCATCACCCATTGTGGTATTGAAAAAAAAGATGGTGACCTGAGAATTTGTGGAGATTATAAAATAGGGGTGAACCATAAAGTTTGTGCTGACTCCTATCCTATTCCGAATGTGGAAGTAGCTTTACATAAACTTGCTGGAATGAAAGTATTTTCGAAGATAGACCTAAAATCAGCTTACCACCAAATACCGATAAATGAAAATTTTAAAGAAGTGATGACCATAAACACACCTATAAGCCTGTTAAGGTGGAAAAGAATGCCGTATGGCATAAAAACGGCAAGTGCAATTTTTCAAAAAGCTATTGAAAAAGTAATAGTAAATGTTGAAAATACCATCTGTTATCAAGATGATATATGTGTTGGAGATTTAAATGAAGATGATTTAAAGAAAAAAACTGAAAATATATTGAACCGGCTAAGAGACGCTGGTATGACAATAAATACAAAAAAGTGTGTAACCAACAGTAATGAAATATCATTTTTGGGTTACTCAATATCAAAGGAAGGGATCCTAAAAGTTGCTACACCGAAAAATAAAAAAGAGTTGGAGTCCTTCTTAGGTTTGGTAAATTTTTATAGAAAATATGTACCAAAATATAATGAGTTGACAGAACCATTTGCTAAGTTAAGAAAAAAAAATGTGGAATTCATTTGGTTAGAACACCAACAGAAAGCCTTTGAAAACTTAAAACAGATTCTGGCAAAAAAGCCAATAGTACAAATTTTTGACCCTAAGAAGGACATAACTCTAACTACTGACACTAGTGAGCAGTCCATATCTGGTATTTTGTCACAAGATGGGCATCCCATAATGTACTTATCGAGGAGATTAACAACAACAACTGAACACAATTATTCGAATATAGAAAGGGAGGCACAAGACAGTTTTTGATGGGGAAAAAAATTCTTGTTGAAAAGTGATCACAGACCACTGGAATTTATTTTCAACCCAAGAAAAGAGCTACCGAAAGTTACAACGTCCAGAATATTGCGTTGGGTGATTAGACTGATGGCGTTCGACTTTAACATTGAATATGTTAAAGGGAATACGATACCACACGTTGATGCCTTATCTAGATTGAGGTTTTATAGAGAAGAGAAGGACAAAAACGACGAGGAATTTGAAGACACATTCTTGCACCTCGTAGAAACCGATGTAATATCTGTAGATAAAATGGCTACTGAAACTACAAATGACCCAGTGTTAAATAGAATAATGTCGAGGATAAAACAGAATCGCTGGGGAAATTGTTCAATGGCTGAAAGAACATTCAAAGAAATTAGACATAGAATGACTATAGAAAACGGGATAATATGTAAGGGAGACTTGGTAGTTCCCCCAGAAACACAGAGGAGACAGATTAAAAAAAGTGTACACGATGACGTACATTGTGGAGTGGCAGCTACGCAAAGAAGATTAAAATTGGAAGCTTGGTGGTCAGGCTACTCAAGAGACGTAGAAGACTACGTAAGAAGATGCAAAAAAATGCACAGAACTCAGGAATTTTAAGCAAAAGAAAATACATGTATGGCCCCGAGAAGTAGAACCATAGAGCAGAGTACACATGGACCATGCCTATGTCAATGGGATAGGACTATTATTAATATTAGTAGACACATATTCAGGTTGGCCTGAAGTGGTGAGAGTACCTGATAAAAAAAGTACCACCATAAAACAAATATTAAGAGTAATATTTTCGAGGAATGGGACACCAAGAACATTGGTGACTGATAATGCACCAGAATTTGTGGATGCTGATTTGCATGAATGGTTAAGAAAAATAGGATGCACACCTTACAAGACCCCTCCCTACCACCCTCAAAGTAATGGGATAGTCGAAAGGATGGTCCAGACGGTAAAGAAGGGCATAAAAGCATGCTTGCAACAGAAGGAGGAAGTCGATACTTTTCTACCAAGACTACTATTAAGTTATAGAACAATTCCACATGCAGGTAGGCCGGAAAGTCCATCTGCCTTAATGGGCAGACAATTAAGGTCCCCTTTGACAATGTCATATGCCACAAATCAAAAAGATGTGGTACAAAAGAAACAGGAATATGCAACCCGAGTCAGCCAATTTATTATGCAGAAAGGACATAATACTGCAATATTAAATAAAGAAAATGGGAACAGTATTCTAGCTCATGCTGACCAAATAAGATCCCAAGGAGAAGAATCGGATGAGGAAATGCCTTCAGAGATGCCCATTATTGATGTAACAGAAGAGTTAATGCAGAATGAAACTGCGGAGGAAGAAGTAGAGAGGGATGAGTTAGAGGAGGAAGAAGTAGAATGGGACAAGTTAGAAGAGGAAGACCAGAGTATGCAAGAGGAACAGTTCGATTATAGGGAAAGACGTGATAGATCTAGATCTCCAAGGGAAAGGAGAGAGATAAAGGAAGATGTTCAGGAGGGCACAAGAAGAAGTACAAGAAGTACTCGCGGCATAAGGCCCCTCTGTTATAGGGAGATATAGTGATATGCAAATTAGTATGATTTGCATATGAGCAGGTAGCTCATAATATAAATGGACAACAACTAGAACGGAAGTCGAATGCTTACTTAACAATATACACGACATAACACTTATGCTTATAGGAAAAAGAAATTCTGGTATGTTAAACTTCAATAAAATGGCATCATTTATTTATGTCTTTAAATATTTTACTACCCAGCTTATTTCTAGCTCACAGATATATAGATAGTAACTTTGCAATTGCTTATTTGTGCTTAGAGAATATCATTTTTTAAAAGCTTAGATAAACTACTATTTACTAATAATGGGAACTAAAAAGAACTGGAAAATATTTTTAGTAAACTTTACAGAACTCATTGAAAAAACAGGGCTACACAATTTGTTCTGCCTTCCAATTCATATTTTGTGTTTCTGGTTTGTTTCTTTATTTCATTCCCCAACTGACAGATAATTTAACCAATTAATGAATTCTGACCCATTTTGAGGACAGTGGGTTTGAATAAGTGGGCATTAATTTTTCTTTTATTAATCATTTCACTCCAAGTAAGGTAATAAAGCCACTAAGATGCAAGGGGGTTACTAAGAGTTAAACAACATGAGAAAAAAACATTAAGGAGAGAGAACAATAAAAAGACAGGAATTAAGAAAACAGAAGATAACTAGCATTGCATTTAAATTTTAGATCAAATTTTACTTGAAAGCAAGCTGGAAAAGGGTTCCACAAGGAAGAACTACGAGAGAAGAAACTTAGCATAGAAATTATGGTTATATCTAACCATTTCAAGTTCCTGCCAAAGAATTTTAAATATTCAAATATTTAAAGTTGTTCAATGATCAAAATGGAACTACTGAAAAATATACAAATATGCCAAGTAAAATATTACTTTATTAACATTATGAAGATTTGTATAAGAAATATTCAAACAACTACCATAATTGATAGCATATGACACTCTTCTGAATATGAAAGCTATGGTAAATACCAGGACAGACTGGATACTGTAGCTTTGGGTAACAAACAGTCTAAAAGAAGTACAACACTGAATTCATAACTTCCAACTCTGAGTTAAATAACCTCACCAACCCACAACTGGTCAAGCATGGTGATTATGGCCACACCCTGAAGATATGATCCATCAGAGAAGGGTTCCTCCAACAGGAGTGAGAAATCCCTGGATTTGGATGGAGAAGTAAGTATTTAATGTTATCAAACTATGAAATAATAATAAAGAAAAAAAAAAAGACTAAACATGAAACTAAAGCAACAGAGAAATGTTCTTTTTTTTAATAATTATATTGTTGTAATTTACAAGAGAAAAGTAAAGGAGTAAACATTAACCTAAGGGAAATCTCAACATCACATATATTTTAGTTACTTTTTTTATATACATCATTTGTACCCTTGAAATGTTCTATCTTCATTTTTAGCAAAGGACGGACAAGTCAATTTATAAATAGGATAATAACTGTTTATACAAACATACCACTACTGTAGAATTCTTGCCATAGTAACCTTCAGCAAACACGGAAACTACAAACATGTTTATGATGAAAGATATAAGCAGGGCAATGGCTGCTTCAATGAAGTAATACATGTTTGCTTCCTTCACTTTTTTAATATTACTCCGATCCACATCTCGAGACTGAAAGTAAAAAAATATATGCCACAAATTATCATAAGATGAAAAAAAAAAAAGATGAAAAAAAAAAAAATGAAAAAAGATGAAAAAAAAAGATGAAAAAAAAAAAAAATGAAAAAAGATGAAAAAAAAAGATGAAAAAAAAGATGAAAAAAAAAAGATGAAAAAAAAAAGATGAAAAAAAAAAGATGAAAAAAGATGAGAAATAAAAAAGATGAAAATAAAAAAGATTTTAAAAAGATGTTTTTCCTTCTTATTTCAACTTCAAAAGATTAAACACTTCTCAAATTTTTACTGATACTCATAAAGAATGAGTGATGTGTCTATTGCAATTATTTAAAAGATATCTTTTTCATGCTAAAACAAAGTCAGTTGTTAGAGAATTGATGTTATAAATCAGGTATCTATTTTTATTTTTCATTGAATGTTTCAACTGCACTGACATAGTACAAAAATAAATCAATAGACTTGACAAATAATTAAGAGAAAAATGGCAAATTTGAGATATGGGGCTTTATGAGAATTAAGATATAAAATTGAGTGTATATAATTCAAAGATGGATTCACAAATAAAAAAAAAAACTTGTTTATTTAATGATTTCTTAAATATTACAGCTTTTTCTATTAATATTTTATAACATATTTTTTTCTGTATTAAAACATTCATTCACTATGTTATGTATAGAACACAGATAATTCTACTGGTAGAAGTTAAAAAAAAATGAAATATAATCATGATTGTATTTTAGGACAACTACATTTAGTAAAATATTAACTTTTATCATTAACCATTGGTATTATCACTAACAGTCATCTGTTTAACTTTATTTGTGTTTTTAAATATTCCTAAGTAAATATTCCTAGAACATGAAATTTAATTTTTTATTTTTGTCTAAAATTTATTTTCATAAGTTTTCCTAAGAGTTGAGCATGCAAAAAGATTTTATGATATATATTTGGTTGGATTGATGTGTGTTTGTGACCCTGGGTTTCACACTTTTGCGATCATCAGACAAACTGATTAACTTTTTAAATTTTGGGTTTATGTAGATTGCATGTATTGGTGTTATTACGGAAGTGGGGGGGCAGAATCATCATTGTGATGTCACTCATGCAAACGCAAACATAGATGCATGTCCGTACATCCGTTGAGGTACGCAAACACACATACACATTCGCTTGCCCGGCGGGGCTCATACAAACATAAACATGTGGACAGTATGGGATTTGACATATGTATGTATATGTGTACTGTTGTCTATATACATACGTATGTTGAAATTCAAAGATTGGAAGTGTAGCAAAAATTTCTCATGAATGTATACATGTCAGCAATCAGACCATTTTTCTATTCTTTCGCTGAATAATATTTCCTCGCACACATGTATATATGTGTGGTGGGGTCTGTGTAAAATTATGATAGGCAAAAATTGCTATTATTTTTAATTTTTTAAGATTGATTTGTTATTATTTTAAAGCTGTTTATTTGCTTGTTTTTGATGACTACGTATATGTAACTGGTAGAAATTGCAGTTTGTAATACTTATTGATTTTTATATGGTGGTATTAAATATGCTGGGGGAGGAGGGAGTAATTTACGTTAATAATTATAGTGGATTTACATGGTAATAGTAGATGTAAGGTGGTAGTAATGGTGTTGGTGGGGTTGGTGGTAATGATAATATTAGTAGCTAATAGTTATTGTAAAGTGGTAGAAGTGATTGCTAATGGTGGTGCAATGATAATAACAATAAATGTATATGGCAGCAATATTCTAAGCATGGATGAATGGTAGACTTATAGATATTCAAGATAGATTCCAGAGAGAAAAATAGTCTCACCCAGCACAGTGAACAGACTTTCTTAGCAGCAGATCTAATGATGGATTCAATGTAGTCTTTCCACCTTGTGTCAGCTGAGAACATTAGCCTGAGAAGGCACAATGCATCACTTTCTTGAAGGATAGCATCAGCCATGCTGATAGAAAGAACAGAGGGTCTCTCAGATGGTTCATGGAGAGCAGTTTATTTGGTGGGGAGGTATTAAAATTGACAAGCCATCTTTTGTCCCAGTTAACAATTGATTATTTTATTGTTGGTTATTATTACTGTTTTCTTGTGTTTATCTGTGTGTAAATGGTTTGTTAATTTATTTATTTATTTACTTGTAGTGATATGTAAATGAGGTATTGTATAAAAGGCAGTATTGCTATAACTATGGAAGAGTTATCGTTTCTTGATGAAACTACATGTGTCAGAGAGAATGCCTATCATAACAATGTGGTATCATCGATCAGTTAATTAATCACTATTGAGGATCCTGAATATGTAGAAACCTGACTTAGGTGTTTCACAGCATCAGCAAAAGTAAAGAAATTTGTTTGTTTGGGGTTTTTTTTGTTATTTTTTAATCCTTTTTCTCCAAGTAAGGCAACAATGCCACAAAAACACAAGTAGATAGGATAATAAAATTCAAGATTTAGGAAGAGAGATAGCAACTGATATTGCATTTACGTTTTTGAAGATCATAGGTAACAGGGAAGCAAGGAACTGGAAGAGAATTCTACAGGTGAAAATTGCAAGAAAAGAAACTATTAGAATAGAACTTATGGTTACATCCAGCAATTTCAACAGTAAAATAATGAGACCTAGTATGCTTAATTTCATGAGGTCAAGGTATCGAGGAGAAATCATTAGAACAACTGCTATGAAAATATTTATAGAACATTCAGAGGGAAGCCATGTCACAGTGGTAGGAAAATGATTAGTCAAGATTCCATGTCAGGAGCACTAGTATTACAGACTCTTTGTCGAGAACCTTGAGGCATATAGCAGGAGCACCAAACCAGATATGACAGCAATATTCAATGCACAGATGAACGGTAGATTTATAAATGAGCAAGATGGATTCTGGAAAAAAAAATTGTCTGGCACAACACTTTCCTTAGCAACAAGCCAAGCAATTGATTCCATATATCAGTGGAAAATGTGAGAGACTAATGTTATAAAAGACATGTGGTAGCACAAGAACAAACGAAAGTAAAATACTGCCAGTGAGGCAGAAAGAAAAGATGTATTAAAATAAAATGCTTTATATTGCCAATATAAAGTATCAAGGAGGAATGTCTCTTTGTGGGCAAGGGAAGTGACCTGGAGGTTGAAGAGAGCTGGTTCAGGCCTGACATTGAAGCTTATGTTGGGTCAGTTGACTGAGGCTATGGTTGGGGTTCAGTGATAGCTTGGCTATTTGTTGTAAGCAGAGTCCTTTTAAGCAGTCAGGATGGATGCATGATTTGGCATTTTTTGTCATGCTTTAGCTTTAGTGGCAACATCCATTATTGACACTTTCTAAGTTGTATTTTATATTGAGGTGGGGTATTTGTTTTGTGAGCCAGTTGTGATGCTTGGAGAACAACTTTTTATATTTTCAATTTTTGCTTCTTAGTGTTCACATCCAGCTATCAGGTTTTGATGTGGAGTGAATCAGAAATCTAATTTGAAATAGAGTATAACATCTCATTCTGATTCATAGGTAATAAGTGGACATTAGTGAAAAGGATGTATTTTTGTCAGTTTGGTGGGATTCTACTATTGATACTAGTGCATGATGAAGTCTTTGAATTGTGTTAGAATTTTTCCATGTGTTTTTATTTTTGGAATTTATTTTGAAGTACTTTTGAGTAGTGCTTGAGTAGTTTCACCAAAACTGGAGTCTTGTGTCTTTATATTCTCCAAAGACAAAAATGGAGGTGGCAACTTCAATGCTGGTTAAAATTCTGCAAACACAAGGTGGGGAAGTTTGTGCGTTGCAAATAATTCAGTCACAGTACAAGGTGATGGACTCGGTCAATTTTATCATTTTGTTTGAACAAACAAATATTAGGATGATGACTGTGTAGGGACATGCTGGCTGTGCTGTTGACTGAGGCAGATTTGAGGAATTTGATCCATTTGCAATTCTTGTCTTCACATAATATGTAAAGAAAATTTTTAATTGTGCAATGTTGCTGCTCCATGTCATGAAAGCGTTGTTATATCCAGGGACAGGGAAAGTCCTATGCGATCAATGCTAGTCAACAAATGTATGTAGGTCTTGCCTGTGAAATAAGTTCCACAATTGAAAGACACAATATGGGGTTTCTCCCAGTGTCAAAGGAAGAAATGATAGAGTCCTTGAACAGCATTGATTGCACAGTCTCTGGCCGTTAGATATCAACTGAAGCTATCCAGAATTGTGAAAATATGTATCATTTGCCTTTGGAGATGGGCAATGTGACAAAGGCTATATAGAATACTATGTAGAATGACTGATGGAGCACTTACCATAGTTTCCCTTGTTTCTTGCACAGGTAGTTCAGGAATCAATGTTTATCTAAAGAAGCCATGCAAAATGAGATACTTAACAAATTCAGAGTTGATCAGGGCCTCTAATACTATGCCAAAAAGAGGTCAAGGAATAATAGGACAATAATTCGAGAGATTAGAAGATTCAGAGTTCTTAAAGACAGGAGCTACAGAAGAGGATTTCCAACAAGCTGGTAAGCAAGAATCAGCAAGACATGTGTTGCAGTTTGGCAAGAACAGAAGCCATTTCAGGAGCACATTTCCTTAGGTTAATTGCAGGACTACCATCAAGTTTGCATGCCTTGTGAGGATCTAGTTTGGAAAAGCAAATTCCCCCAAATTATGCCTAGCACCTGTTATTGCTATTTTCCTGCATTAAAAATAATTATTCTAAATTCTCCATCACACCTGTATTTTTCATTACAAATATTTATTTTGTAATTTTTACTTCTTGTATAGGCAGCCATATTTGCTGATTAATAGGTGTTAATCCCCATTCTGAAAATAAAGTCATATGCACAAATTTGTTTTTCTCTTCTAATCATTATTTCAGAAAGTAAACATAACGTCTTTAACACATAATAGCCTTTCTTACTTACCTTGACTAAAGCAGAATGCAAAAATATATTGTGTGGCATTATAACAGCACCAATGATCCCAACTGCATAAGTCAGTTGTGTGTAATCACAACCTGAACAGTAAGGAATGAATAAGCCTTTTAAGACTTCTACTTGATTCGGAGCAGCAGTACCATACTAAAATTTAAAAAAAATAAAAATATTAGAGACAATATTCTATTACACTAGAAATATTTTTTCTGTTAAATGACAGCAAGGCAATAGAGCCACTAAGATGCAAGAGGTAAAGAATATGAAAAACAAAAAAAAACACACATTAAGGAGAGAGAACAATAAAAGAACAGGGATTAAGAAAACAGAAGATAATGATTGACATTGCATTTAAATTTTTGAAGACCAAACTTGACTGGAAAGCAAGAAACTAGAAGAGAGTTTCACAAATGGGAAGTGTGAGAGAAGAAACTGTTAGCATAGAACTTACATTTACATTCAACCATTTCTATTGTAAAATGAAATGACTTGCTGCTAATCTAGTACTGCACTTAAAAACTTAAAGAGCAAATTTCATCAGAAGAATTACCATGAAAATATTCATAAAAAAAGGTACAGGGAAGCCACATTACAGCAGTGGAAAAGTAACTGAAGCTGGGATGTCAAGTCAGAACCAATAACATTACAGATTATTCTTTGTATTTTATCAAGAATCTCTAAATATAGAATAAGAGCACCAGTCCAGAAGTGGCATCAATATTCAAAGCATGGATGAATGGTAGATTTATAAATATGTAAGATAGATTCTGTTGAAAAAATTTGTCTAGCATGACACAATGAACACTTTCCTAACAGCAAATCTAGTAATTGATTCAATATAATCTTTCCACTTCATGCTAGATGCCTGGTAAGTGGGTAATAATCAAGAAGTGAGTACATTTTTTTTTTACATTTTGCAGATTTAAATTGTCTTAATATTTAGGAAGTTACATTAAAAAGAAGAAAAAAAAATTGTCTTGGACAAAAAAAGCAGGTTAAATATGATAAAAAAAATTGTGTTAATTTAACGTAATTTTTTGTGATAGGAACCCCAAATCCACTTGGTCATTTTTTAAAAAGAGTGTCAAGTTAAATCTGTGTGTCCTTTATAAAATTAATTTCAACAATATTCCAATGACTTTTCTAGCAACAAGAGGCAGAAAAAGTAATTATCCAGAAGTGATCATCTAAAAATAAATGATTAAATATGTTAACTTCAAACAATCATAACTTGAACTTTGCTAGAAAAGTTAAACCAGTTTTGAAATCCTGAGACCATTTACTACCAAAGTAGATATTAGCAATATATCACTTGGGAAATGTGAGCCCCCAATGTATTGATAATATTTTTATAATTAGAAACCTATTCAAAACCCAAACAAAAGGTGGGCTTCTTACCTCATATCCAAATGTCAATGCCATTACTGCTATTAAGAAACCAAAAAAAGCTTCTAACTTTCTTAGTCCATATTTATCCAGCAGTAGAAAGGTGAAAGTATCAGTGATTGTGATCAGGACACCTCCCCACAATGGAATTCTGAAACAAAATCAATCAAGCTAATGAATAAAAAAATATCTCTTACTCATTTCCATAAAAAAATGAATCAAAGAAAAATACTTTTATATTTATTTTCAATTAACAAGATGAAAAACAAAAGTATCTAACATTTTTTTTGTTTCTTTACAAAAGAACTTTCTCAAATAAAGAATATTTACTTTTAACAATGATCAAGTTTGAATTTGCAATCAATTTAGAGTAAATACATTTACTATTTTGTCTAGCATATATCATATTTAACTTTATTTCATCTACAAATATCTTAAATCCTCACATTCAAAATTGAATTTACTTTGAATAGGGTGCATAGTGTTAATTACTGGCATTAAAATAGTATACCAAACAATCTATATTATAAGGATCTCGTCTTTGTATATTTTTGTGCATTTACCATAATGCAGCAAAAATAGCAAATTGTAGTTTTTTTTAGCATAATACTTTAAAATACTGAGAATAAAGCAATTTAAACTTCAATTGGGTCAATCATCTTTAAGTATAAATTGATTAATAAAATAAAATAGAATAAAAAATTTGTCTGAGGGAAATGATGGCAGGTTTTCATTCCTCATTACCAAGTCTTAACTCAAGATGAGTGAGAGCATTTCACCGGACAATAGGAAGATTCATACTGATGAAAAATTTCAATAAACTTCAATAATGGCAAGAAGAGAGACAAGCCTGATACTGCCACTGCTTAGAAAAAATCCATTAAGCTGAGGAGTGGGAGTCTAATAATCTTCAGAAATTTATTAGCCTAGGATGGTGAGTTCAATCTTTGGTAGGACCACAAGAGTCAGCGTAGTTAACAGAGTGTTTGCTGCTAGTATATGAAAAGTTAATTTTTTTATACTCCCAGAAAGGAATCCAACCAAACTTTGTATAAGATCTCTGCAGTACCCAAATTTACTTGAGAAATAAAAAACGAATTTTAAAAAAAATTCATAATCAGCAAGATAAAACAAATCAATGTGAAAAGCAAAACTTCACAAAATCAAAATTTTAAGTTATTTACTCGTTGTATCCATTGCATAATCAGAAGCACAGACCTTTAAAAACTTCCAATGCATTTTAATCAGAGCTTTATTTAAAATATATAAAGTAAGCATATTTTTCAAGGCGTACATTTATATTCTTTTACAGAAATGAATTTTAATAAATTGTTATAAAATGAATCCTAAAAATGCTGCAATCCTGAAGATGGTCATGCAAGTAATGTAACAGATAACATCAGAGAAAGGGAAATCAATGAGACAACATTTAAATTCCAGCCTCCAGCATTCACTTTCACACAAATACCCTTAGTAAAGGTAAGAAATGAATTTATGCTGTTCTCCTGAAACTATGGGTTAAATATTAACAGGGTAGAATGGACTCTTCAGCCATAGAGGAAATCAGTTTAAGAAAAGAAAAACTCTTAACTTCAACCATTCCACTATCCCTACCAAGTCATTATGGTAATACCCAGATAAAAATAATAATAATAATAATTATAATAATAATAATTCAGTGGAGAGCCATGATCACCTTCATCATGAAGAGACTTGGCATTTTATATATACATTTTGGTCACCTGACAATCATGGTAGTGTGAGTGAAACTTAAGTAGCAGTGCAAACTTTATGTCATTCCAAGTCATGACATGGAGAAGTGTAATTGCTTTGTCTTCATAACTTATACAGAACATTGTTTATTATTGTTTAAGTAGGTATCTGTCTTTTTTTCTTAGTTTATGTTTCATTTTCCCTTTTTTCTATCATCTATTTCAAATATGTGTATTTACTAACATTTGAAGTAACACACACATACATGCATACACATATATTTTATATACCCATCTACAAAAACATCTGTTGGTAATTCCCATTTCTCTGTTTGTTCATTGGGCTGTTGATGAATTACACAGGTGTGTCTGAAAATTACGAACATAAAACCTTTCTCTCCCTGCTTGATTTTTGTCATATGGTTAATATTTAATAAATGTTTATCATGCTGATTTCATTGGTACCCTTTCATTTGTCTTTGTTTTATTAACCAACATATATATATATATATATATATATATATATATATATATATATATCCTGAAGATTGTTGAATAGCAAATAGGGAACTATCTTTCAGTTTGTTCATACCATTTTTGTAATAATTCAATTTTTTACATTTCTATTTCACTTTTTTACATTGTTTAAAATGTTCTTAATGCTAAAAATATTTCTTAAGATAATTCAACTCATGGCTGTAATAAGTCTTGAAACAAACATTCACATACAGAGTTTCTAATAAAGATATAAATTTAAAAATCCTCTAAGTTAGAGAAGCCTATAACAACTGAAACTGAAGCATACCCTTTGATATGCTAGACAAAAAATTTGAGAATATTTTCATAAATTGTAAACACTTACTTTCCATTGGAGAGTAGAAAGAGAGCAGTGGCTGTTCCTATGACTTCTTGCATATCAGAACCTAGAAAGATAACATTTGAGCAATTAGTAAAACAGACAATATTTAAGCAATAAAAATTCTTATATCATTGAGGAGTACAAATTTCTAAAATTTTATTAACAATTATTAATTTCTATCATTAAATATATCTTAAATATTAAATGGATTGTAATATGACTGATATGATTTTATGTTAATTGATCTTCTATGTGATAGCAAAATTTGCAAATAAAAATTTGTCTTAATTTGACAACTTTAGAAGATAATAATGTTGATAACTGTTTTTGATTATACAGCAACTCATAAGACAAATCTCTCTTTTATCAATATTTCTGCAGCATAAAAATCTGTTTTATTCTTTGATTTGGTTTTGATTATTTGAACTCTATTCTCATTAGTTCACATTTTAGACATTTTGCCTACCTAGAATTTTTTTGCAACACACTAACACCTGTTGAAATTTTCACAGTATTTATTATTGTTGAAGTTAAAACTAACATTTTTTGTCAAGATTTACAAACTCCAAGTTTTGTTCAATTTCACAAACCAATCAATAAAATTTGAATAAGCTGATTTGTTTGGAAAAATACTTTGACAAAAACCCTACTTTACGGTTTAATAATTTCTTTAATTTAATTTTATAGAACTTCATGGTAAACAGTATTTTTTAAGAAAATTTCTTTTTTTTTTTCCTTTTAACAAAAGAATAAATTCTTAGGATTTATTACTTTTGAGCATGAAACATACAATTGGCCATGCATAAATATTTCTTTTTGGAGACAAATTCCAACTTTTTTGGTTTATTTTGTTTTACAGCATATCAATCTCAATGTGTTATTTAATGCCAACTAATTTCAGCTAGTTCAGGCATAAAGTTATATTAAAATAAATTTAATACTGTACTTTGTATCCCCTTACCTGTTTGCACTTATTCTCAAAATTTGGTTTTGATCAGTCAATGTATGGCTATTTTAGAGGGTGTGATGAACAAAGTCACAGAATTTCATATATAGATAGATGCATGTGCATTATATCTGGTAATTCTTGTGTAGAATCATGCCAGAATAGAATTGTCATTCAATATCGCACCTTTATTTCATTATATATTGCATTAAATCTTATCTTTGGTTTGTTTCAATTTAATTTCAGTTGCTTTTCATCACAATGACTTAAATAGTCACTCAACAGTTGTTATACTGAAATCCGAAGGCACCTTGGGATAGTGAAAGATGTCTTTCAAAAGTTAAGCAAGTAAACAGGAAAAATTCATTGGAAACGAAGAAAGCACAGAACTTATGTAATATCAATACTCCTATATATGGCACCATCTCATCACAGAAATGTGATGCTATGATTTGATTTGTTTGTTTAACATGAGTCATTTAATACCAAAATTTAATTTCCTTGGGAGATTTAAATTAATAAAAATATGATGTTATTCTGCTTTCACAATCGAATACATGGTAGATGATACTCAGCTTTTGTGCATATACATGTCTGTGTGAACATAATTATTAGTGGGAGTAAGGTGTGTGTTTTATGCTGTAGTTTTGTTGAAGTTATATTTTTGAATACAATTTGATTTAAGAAATTGTAGGATATTATATGGATTAATGTCATGAAAGAATTCTTTCATGTTGGTTGGTTTTTTCATTTTGTTTAGCAGCATATCAACCTCTATGGGCTATTTAATGCTGAAATTTAAATATTTTGAACACAATTTTATGGCTTCAACTAAATATAATTTGAACATATGCCTTCAACTACAGATAAAATTTATTATTGGTCTATAAATATGTATTGTTGGTAATTTCTATATAAAAACATGTTGCTGATATTTTTAATACAAAGATTCATAGTATTTTTTGTTTTGGGGTTCACTATTTGTCCATAGCTGAGACACTGACAAGTGCTACCACCCTGGGTCAGGCTGGACCTGAGAACAACAGCAATTTAGTTGTGGTTCCATTGCTTCTCAAAACCTCCAATCTCCCAATCAGAGGCTTTGCTGCTGGATGTAGTTTATCGTCATACCCAGAATTAGTGGTTCTATGAAAAATGCTGAATATATCATAGACTAAACTTGCAAGTAACAAAGTTTTAGAGAAAATAAAAGCAAAAAGGACATTTAAATGTAGTGTCAGAAAGAGATAGTTGAAATTTCTAGAACACAATGAGGAAAGAGAGCTTAGAAAACTTGACACTTAGGGGACATATTGAAGGAAAGAGGGACAGAGGAAAACAATTATAATCTACCTAACGAGCTTGTGGAAATGCTTGGTAGAACAAGGATTAGGTGACATAGCAAAAAGAAACTTTATTAAGGCCTACAAAGAACATAAAATTGTTGAGAGAGCCATGATTACTAACATTGCAAAGGAACACAGCATATAATGGAAGAAGTAATAATAGAGATTGGAAATAAGAAACACTTGAACGGACTTAAACTTGCATCACTTTTACTTTGGGAGTTTATCTTATGCTGATAGCTGCTCTAAAGGAATTAATTTGAATCTTGCTGAAGGTTTTTATAGCTCATTAGAATGATCATAATAAATAAATTTCTCTACTGTTAGCTTCCTTAGTTCAAACAAGAATAGCTGTCACAGTCAAATTGGTTTCTTGAGACAAAAGGTATAAGTTCAAATCTAGTTGTGATAAAAAGCAACTGAAATTAAGATGAGAGAAATACTCGTAAAAGTAAAAATTGACAAAATACTGATGACAATTTCTCATTGGCACCATCATTTTAACTTATATGTGTTTTATATATATATATATATATATATATATATATATATATATATATATATATATATATATATATATATATATGAAAATGCAGAAAATAGAAAAGAAGACATTGGGTGCATAATCCGGAGTTCCTTAGTATTTTTTTGTTTTTATTTTTAAGAAGACAGTGCTCCATACATAAGTAGAGCTTTATTATAATAATAAAAAAAAAAAAAAAGAAAAAAGGGCGTAGCCACTCCCACAATAACGAATGTTATGACGGAACATGCCTAAAAACACACGTAAACCAAAAGATAGCTTATTCCTAAAATTTCACTTGAAGATGAAAACACCTCAATTCAACTTAATTTTAATAATTATTTGGATGATTTCGGCTCTCATTTTTGAAACATGAGAACTCTTATGTAGCGAAGGAATCATTTTTAAACAAAAAAATATTATTATATATATATATATATATATATATATTACACACGTTTTCAAGAAGACCATGAAATATGTTACCTGTTTTGTGACATATTTTTATAATATATAACATTTGGGGGGGGTCATTTAGCTTAGTTTGCATTGCAGAGTATCTGAATGAAGCTAAAATGATGGTGCCAATGAGAAATTGTCATCAGTATCTTTATTATATATATATATATATATATATATATATAACAACAATGCTACAATACAGCAGTGAAAGTTTTAATCTTAGAACTTCAGGCAACACTTGTACTGTCCTTGGCATTTGGTTAGAAAAATCAAAAACAACTCATTTCAACTAATGCTTTTTATGGTTCATATATAACTGTCTCCTTTTATCAATTGATTGGAACAAGGCCACAAAGAGCTATTAAAGCAAACATTGGCTAACTTCTTTACATGAATAATGAACAAAAAGATACCAAAAGAAAGAAATATATTTATCTGAATTTATAGAAAAAATTAGACTACAACACAATTGTGATACATAGATAAATAAAAACAATTATTTTAACAACTTAAAAAAAATGTGTATATACTTTTACAGTTTACAGCTCAAGTCAACTTGCTTTCTTTTCAGATTTACACATTAATATTATTGTCACCCAGGCTTAGCTTTGAACAAAGAAAGTTCATCCTGACATGCTACTGGAAGTACAAAAATGCAGTTGAAGCTCAAAGGCAGTAGCAAAGAGAGTTTCATTTAGTACCACCCACATGGCTTACGATCTCACAAATTAGATATAAGTTTGAAGCTGATATTACTGTACACGATGTGCACAAGAACTGTTCCGGAAGACCATGGGTATCAACAAGGGTGATGAAAAGTTTTCACAGAAGTCCAAGAAATCTATTGGAAATGTGGACTGCTGTTTGTGATTCCACTGAGTCATGTTGTCAGCAATGTCTGGATGATAACAGACATCAATTTGAAAGCATGCAATGACAAAATATACTGTCTTTATATGCATTATTTAAATTAGATAGAGTTGGTTCTAGTAGCTTGATTTATTTCTTGAGAAAGCTTCAAAATGTGTATACATTTATTGGGAGACCCTGTGAGTGTGTGTGTATTATATAGATGTTTGTATGTATGTGCATGTTGTTGACTGCATTAAACAGCACTATTACTGACCAGCAGTCTTCACAGCAGAAGAGTACCTAATACTAGCAACAAAAGATTAGAGAAATAGGTTTTATATATAAGATTTAAGAAACAGCAGATATTTTTATATATAGTGCTCAATATTAAAATAATATTAAAAATAGAGCATTAATAATATTGTAGTGAAATGCAAATTAGTATAATTTGCATATGAGCAGGTAGCTCATATGATAAACGGACACCAACTAGAACAGAGGTCGAATGCTTACTTAGCAATATACACGACACAACAATGGCGTCGCCGATAGGATACTCTTTGGTCCTTGAAGACCCAGAATACGTAGATACGTGGATTCGTTGCTTTGCTGCTAATGCAAGATGTAAAAAGTTGAAAGACAACAAAAACACAGGAGGGGAAAATGAAATCACCGACTTGTTTATGGCTACCGCTGGTTGTAAAGCGATTATGAAGGTTGCTACAATGGTTTACCCTCAAGAACTAGAAGAAATGACTTTCGAAGTAATAAGTCAGGTTATTAAGGGAAACATGAGGCCAAAGAAAAGACTGGTGATTGCAGAAAGGACCAAGTTTATGGCAATGAAGCAGGAAGTGGATGAACCGATAGTAAAATATTTACACCGGTTAAGAAGTGCGAGTAAATACTGTGAATTCGAAAAACTAGGAACAGGA